GCAACACTGGGTCGCTACTTTACGCTGCGTTATCCAGTGTATCTGAGTAGTGTAGTGCACCCAGCTGCTTGGCTGCTACTTTACCACTACACTAACCGCAATTTTTTTTCCTGGGCTGTAGTGTAGTGAAACCCTTTTCTGAAACCCAAAAAAAACAGATAGTGTAATGGTTTCACCCCTGGATAGTGCGCTACTGCATTATCCTGTAGCGTAACTGGGCCCCTCTTTTTGAGAGCACCAAAACATGATTTTGTGACGGTTTCACCCCTGGATATTGAGTTACTGAACCATCCAGGGGTGAAATAGCCCTAATCTGACGAGGAAACGGTCCAGCCTTGTCATTGAATTAAGGGTCCCAACCTGCTAGCAGCCATCCATCAATTGTGCCCTCTGTCCCCGACCCCATCCATCTTGATACTTCACAAAAATCATCTTCAAGATTATTTAATATCATCCAATATTAATTATTATTCATTTTACTTGCTCATATTAATGTTTCTCTCTCCTAGGTTTGTCTTCCTAATAGTAATTTTTCTCTTGTCATCTCCTCTCTACTGTAATGCAATAAAAAAATACAAAAAACAGCCGCTGCGATAGTGTAGTGGCAAAAAAAAACAGCAAAAAAAAGAAAAAGATAATGTAGTGCATTTGCACTACAGGAAAAGTAGTGCTAGTGACAAAAAAAACGCTACTTTACCACTACACTACCGTTACTGGTAGTGTAGTGACCCAGTGTTGCTGGAAGGCTTCAGAAAAAAAAATTGATGAAAACAATCTGATCTAAGGGGTGTTATACATTGACTTCTGGGAAGGTCACAGATTGGAATGGGAAGTCATCCATTTTGCCTCTTTTTTCCAAATGATGTATTTTTGTATATTGTGCAAAAAACAACATCCTGGAAATCACGATTTTCCGCACAAAAAAAATATGTATTTACTTGTAGAACACGTGTTGAAAATAACGTAGTGATGATGTCAGAGTGGGTTTCAAGGCTGCAGATGAAACGGCTATGTATGTAAATGGAGTTGGATCAAACACTTACCCCAAAAAAACCCTATTTTTTTAAAGAAAAAAAAAAAAAAAAAACTGCTCACGAACAACGGAACACCTGCATATAACGCAATCAAAAACAAGTCGAGAAAACGTTCAATCTGTCGGAGGCCTATATAATCACTCGTCCTCCATCTCCGGCAGATTTGCAGGGCCATGAGTTCCTTGCGTTTTCTTTTTCGTTCATTAATATTTCCTCGGTGCAGGCTTCGCGGCTCGAGTCCCCTCAAAGTACTACCAGCTCGACACATAAATATTTTCTATCGCCAAAGATCAGGCAAGATTCCGTCACTGAACTTCAAGTGCTGCAAACATGTGAGTATGGCGAGAGGGACTATAGAACTCTCTGATGCAACCCCAGATTTTATAAATACATTATTCGTGATCCCCAATCACTTCTTCTCGTGCTGATTATCATCAGAGCCTGATCGATTCAAGAGACCCCCCCCCAGCCAAGATGACGCACTTGAAGCTTTAGAAGTGGACAAACTGACAATATAAAGTGCGGTGTATAATATGTGTATCATCCAGCTCCTGACTTTCAGACTGGTGGATGGATTGATCCGGCCACAAGTCAGCAGTCATCAATCGGAAGGGGATGTTCGAAGAACCGCTTCAAGATCTCGTAGGATCAGAGATATTCTGATCTTCAATGCGCCAGCCGGGGGGGAGGGACCTCGTTCTGTCGATGGATTAAAGCACCGTCTGTGGAGCCGCGCTGATGGATTCTCTCGGTACATTAAAGCTGATTGCTGGAACTTGGTCATGATGATAAACCCAAACCATAGCCATGGCCTGGATGCCTCATGGATCCGAAAAATGAACACACACACACACACACAAGGACCACCCTGTTTCTAATAAATCGATTTTCAACTTCCCATTTTTTTTCAAATTTATTATTCTCTATAACACCCATCGTTCAATCTTGAAATTATGCCGATGCCCCCTTATATGTTATAAGGGAGACTAGTCTAAATGTGGAGAAGTGTGTAGAACCTACATAAGCGGGCGCAACAAGTCCATCCATCAGCTGCCAGCTACACACATACTTGAAAATGTTATGTGGCATATTTGTTAAGGATGGCTATCTGCCGTCGGCGAGCTAGCCTGTGCATCTTTAATATTGCCATTTACAAAATCGCCATTCTCCTCTCTTCCGATCCCTCTCTTGCACATTATAAGTAATCTTTCTCGCCCCCCCCCCCCCCTCTCTCTCTCTCTCGCCATGGTCCACCCTTTTTTTTTTTAAAAAAAAAGAAACATCCAACAATCACGACTTTTATTTATCTCTTTATAGATCTCAGACTGGCCACTCACATCGCCGCCAAACGTGGAACTCTAAACCCGATCTCACGACCCCACACAACCCCTCCCTCCCCCATACAAATACATACATAAATACCTATAGACAAGATCATTCCTGCAAGACTTGCTGATACATTCACCCCCTTACTCTCACCCATCCGCTGCGCCCAAGCCAGTTCGCGATTTGGCACCCCCCCTGTCACAAACGCTGAATTTTGGCGACGACATAGAAGGTCAGTTTTTGAGCACGCAACCAAGCAAATCTGCTGCTACAATGTAGAAATAGAGCCTTGAAATCACTTTCCACCTGCTCCCAGCTACTCTGAGACTCTGGAGCTGTCATCGCCATTCTCAACTCTAGCCTTGTCAATCTCTCTCTGGATTTTACATAAATAAAACTATATATAATGGCTGCCTCAGGCCCCATTGATCCCCAGTCCCAGCTTCAATAATTTCATATGGTGCCTTCCCTCCGCTAACTTCACTCGACCTTCTCTTTTGATAAAGATTTTTGAAAATAAATACCACACCTCAAAACCAACTAAATAGCTAGACTAGCCTCATCCCCTTTGACAACTTCGAAACCTTATCACCGCAGGCCGGCTGCTCGATTCTTCGCCATTGTTTTTTTTTTGCTTTTTTGGAGAGGGTAAGTCCTTAAATTCTTCAGAAGATGTCTGTATTCCTTAATAGTTTAAATACCAAATCAAATGGCTTTTGAGCCCCCCGATTTTTCTCATGCCTGCAATGACCTCAAGATGTATGCACGTTATGTTCAAGTATCCCACCCCCAAGCTGGCGGCCACACCCTTCTTCTCTCATCCCATCACTATGTACCCCGCGGATACAACATAGAAAAAAGCCTCGGCGTGAAGCGCATACATACAACATCAATGGTTTCCATGAATGCCCTCAGAGACTTGGAACGCAAGTGACCGATGGTCATTGTATACTCACGTTCTGCAGCTAATAAAGTACTCCGGGATAGCTGACTCACCCGCGCCGAAAGGCTGGTGTGGTTGACGTAGAACCAAACTGCTCAACTTCTGTCTCATGTACTATAGTCTATACATACTGCCTCGACTGGTATGTTTTCGAATGACATCATGGCTATCCCAATCACATGATCCCTCACTATAAATAATACTATTGGAGTATGTTATGTAGCCCACCCCATGGGGTTCGTATATTTGTATTACCCCACATTTTAGTCTGCAGCTTGCTCGGCAACACCGAGATAAAGACCGGATGGCGCGTACATTCAACACATGAATATATATTTTGTTGGCTCTGCGAGAAGACTTCTCCAATCACAAATTTCGCACTACCAACCACACTTCCCCTCTGATCAAGTCCACTAGGGTTTCCCTCCTTAAATACTTAGTATCTACATTATCATTATTATAGTGTTCTGCAAACAAACAAAATCAGTCACTCATTCCACTACTCTTCCCGGTTCCTCTCGCCCACAAAGGCTCTCTTGACAGTCTCTCTGGCACGATCCCCAATCCCCCAATCCACATCTTCAAGCTCGGGGCACATATTTATCTAGTCGCTGCGCCTCGTTCAATCAATGTATGTGTAAATAAATATGTATCTTTGTCTTCATGACGTCTCTTGGTCCAGCTCGATTTAATGGAATATGGGTGAAGAATCTCCTGATGGGCTATCGGCGCCTTTTTGCACCTCCTACCTCATCACCCTCGCAACCACCCACACTATTCTTCCCCAAGGTTCATACAGACACAAGCCTTCCAGAACACTTCATCTCTTGTTTTTTTGCTTCTTGACTGGACTACATAGATCAAAGAGCCTGCAGAAGTTACATATATATATATATATGTGTATTACCACCCCCATCCCAAGTTCCCCACTTTCCTCCTCCTCAATATGAATAGCACCATTTTCTTATCATTCCGAGTCAGGAGGGCCCTCATAGCGCGTATATTCTAGGCTAACTGGATCGCCCTTCACCCCACCTTGTTTGTTATACAGTCCTTGATCAAAGCCTCCCTGAGCACTTCAGTTTCTAGCTTTCTTCCGAATCGGTAAATATTCGTCATTCAAATCTTTACCCCAGAAAACATAAAACACAAAAACAAAAAAACGTGGCAGTACTGTTTATGCGATGTGATCCCGTCAACTGACTTGAGTGTTTTTTTTTGTTTCGATCTTTGGCTACAACTTGCTGTTCCCACACAAGATTTATGCGATTTGTCTATCGCTTCTTGGTCCGGCCAGCCCGAAAGACCCTCCGACCCCAACGACAAATAAAGTAAAGACCAGCTGTCCAGTTGGTCAGCTGTTCAAATCCAAATCCTAGCGGTGAGTTCTTACGCCCCCGAGTTGCATCATCCTCATCTTCATCCTCATGCCGGTCTTTTTTTTTCCCCCTTCCCAACATCTGAGCTCACATCCGGCGCGCATTATTTCCATCCTTCCCTTCTGTCAGATTATTCTTATTTATATAATCCCCCAACCCTCTCTTTGACCCCGCCCCCGTCAACGAACGCAGGCTCCTTCCTCACATACCATAAGTAAATGCCCACAATCATCTCCCCTATTATTTTCCCCCCACATCCTTGCACCAAGCATTTGGGTTCCTATATCTGCCCGCATTCAAAGAATCTGACTTCATCCATCTTCCCCGCATTGAAGATCTTAGCTTTAACCCCTCCCCTGATATATTCCTAGTCCTGCACCGAGTCGAAGCAAATCGGTTGAATAGCTTTCTTTTTTTTGAAAAAAAAAAAAAAGTTCAACTGTCGTCCAATTTTTACATATAATAAGTGCAAAAACATTATGAATAAGTGTATTAAGCCCTCATCTACGGCCCCTTCGAGGAGTCGATTATTAGGGAGACGGATCAAGAAGAAGCAATCATCCAGGCTGGGCTTGGGTCGCTCAGGAACAAAACAACAGGTGGTGAAAAGGGCGGTTGTAGTAGAAGACTGGCCCCTGATCTTGGTGACCGGAGCGAATGGGTACATAGGATCACACGTGGTGTTGGAGCTATTGAAGCAGGGCGAGTATGGGGTGATTGCCATCGACAGTCTGGAAAACTCGAGCGCGGAGTCGTTGAGAAGGGTTCGAGAATTGGCGAGCCAAGAGAAGAGTCTGGGCGCCCACCATCCGCCTATCTACCACCATCAGACCGACATTCGAGATCGTCGAGGAATGCTGGCGATCTTTCAAGGATACCGACAACGAGATGGCCGGAATGCAATCCGACACGTCATCCATTTTGCCGCTTTGAAATCAGTCGAGGGCTCCAGGTTGAACCCTGCCGGCTATTATTCGACCAATGTCTTGGGCACCGCCGGCTTGCTTGAAGTCATGAAAGCCAGTGGGGTCAATTCGCTCGTCTTCTCTTCCTCGGCGGTAGTCTATGGCTCCCGCGCTGGCCGTCCGGGCGGCCCTGGCCACTCGTCAACCGATCTACTCGCCGAATCACGCTGCCCCGTTCGAGCTCACCAACCTGAGGCCGAACGTCAGGCAAATTACGCGCGGATCACTAACACCTATGGCAAGACTAAGCTGATGTGCGAGGAGTTGATCCACAAACTGTGTTACGAGCATGGACAGTCCACCAATTCTGAGGAAAACTTTCGCGCAGTCATCCTAAGATATACCAATCCCAGCGGGAATGATCCTAGTGGCCGGATCGGAGATAGTCCGACTTATCCGGAAAATTTGATGCCCATCGCTGCACAGGTATTGCAGGGCACCCGAGAGCAGATTTCGATCTACGGGGCTGATTATCCCACTCGCGACGGCACCGGTAAGCCTCGTCTTGACCCTTCCCCGCTTTGTCTTTCCTGTTTTTTTACAACTAAACTTATTCGACCGCTGATATCTTGTAACCGCCTCCATCCAACTAGGCGTCCGCGATTTTATACATGTTCAGGATCTGGCAAAAGGCCATCTGGCAGCCTTGAGCGCATTCCAACCGAAAGGAAACAAATTCAGTCGCGGCATGTACCCGAACAACTGCCAAACCTACAAGTGAGCTCCAAAATCGAGCGCGCCGCTTAACATACATCTACTTTATTTTTCCCTCAGTTATTTATACTGACGATGATGATGAAATAATCAGTCTGGGGACTGGCAAAGGTGCCTCGGTGATGGAGGTTATCCAAGCATTGACCGAGGCTTCGGGCCGCCCGATCAAGACGACGATTGCACCACGAAGACCAGGCGATCTGGCAACCGTGATCTGCGATCCCTCCAAGGCTGAGCTTGAACTGGGATGGAAAGCGGAGAAGGGTGTGCTCGAAAGTCAGTCGATCAATTTTTCACATATAAGAGTGTCCTATATATTGTCATGATCATGCTGTAGGTCACTGAAGTCACATATCCATTTTTTTTCCTATAGTGGCAACGGATCTGTGGAAGTTCTGTGTCTCAAATCCCCACGGCCTACTGCCATTGAAAGCCTCGAAATAAAGCAAACGAACGAGATGGGCTCAGCCTCTGTTCAGCTCCTGCTTCAGGGGAGCCCACAGATCCCCAAGAACATTCTTCCTCCCTTTCGAGCAATCTTCAAGCGGGGCACAATCCCACGTTGTGGGGCAGTACATATACAAATCAGATATCTCTTCGTCTTTCCAAACTTAACAATCATCTACCACCCTCACTCACTTCGAAGCTTTCAGCTTTTTCTGACGATGTCTTCGTAACACAAAGTCACTTGTCTCCACTCATTCCCCCCCCCCCGTCCACGGCCTATGTCCTAGTTGTTGGCGTGTAACCTATTTTTCATATTCCTATTTCTTGCTTCTGCTCTTCTACATTTGTATTACCTATCTCCAATAACTATTCAATCTTGCAGCTGGGACTGTCAGGTTGGTCTTCGTCTTGATCATCACAGTTTTCTTTTCCTTTATTTTTCTTTCTCTGCCTTCTCCTATCTTCGTTTTGTTCGATCTTCTGTTTTGTTCAAATACTCTTAGCTCAAAAAAAGTTTTCTATAAGAAGATTTATTACCTAGTTCCTCATTCATTTTTTTGTTTTTTCTGCTTCTTCTTCCTTTTTTGTCCGATTACATTCCCTTATATACCCCGATCATACGATGATACAAAGTCTCCTAACCTTCCTTTTTTTTCTCTCTCTAACTTGATAACATCAACACATCACTCGATACTATTTGATTTGACACCTTCCTCAAAAAAAAAAAAAAGGAAAACCGCAACAGGTTTAAAAAAACCAAAAAAAAACTCGACTTTTCTTGATCATGATGTACTAATTTGTTCTCCGTAATCCAACGTTTTCTTTTACATTTAGTCTACATAGTCATTTTGTTTGTTCGAAGTGCGATGTTGTGTGAAGAGAAAAATGAAACAAGTGATTGTTTTGACCATGAGCTCTACAAGGCGATGCCAATAGTCGCGAATGACGTCCGGGACATTAACGAACCACCGCACAAACCTTTGGGAGACATTTATAAATGGCAACCCTGAAGTTAGCAGATTTGCGCGATGGTGGGGGCGCGCAGGTGACTCTTATGGGAAACATATTTTTTTTTTTCGTGTTTTGGATGTTTCCCCATTGGGTAGCGCTGCACCTTGCCTCCCCCATCCACTGCTTTCCCAGAGCCTATCGCCTTCCCTCCTTCAAGTGGAGAGAAAAGAAGAGGGCTTGCGTGGTCGGCTCATGCCAGTCAATGACCAGAAGGTGCATACATTCTTACAGGAAACTGAAAGGACAAGGCACCAGTGAGATTCCCACGTATATGTTTTGGATACATACTGGAATCTCAGCTTATGCTATCGCCAGAAAAAGAAAACCCTCGCAGTAATTCTTATGTAAGCACTTTTAGGGATTGCAAATTTACTTTTAGTAGCAAATCCCAAAATTTGGAACCCTGATGAAGGTTGAGAATTCATGTCCTATCCTTCTCATGAGATGCCAATGGGATTTGACTCAACAAAGCATGAATGAGCCATGTGGAAGGGGTACAACTAGCTGTCTGGGTAAGTCAACCACCATCCATTTTATGATCCATAGCTTGTTTCTAGTAATTATGAACCTTGAACCTTGCAAACTTTCATGATATCCCCAGGCACACTCACCAATTACACATAAAACTTGGTTTTGTAATTCCTTTCTCTACCTTCCTTGATTATCCTCAATTATACTCCTTTCATGTTTAATCTTTGGGGGTCAGCATTTCATTTGCACATGGCCAGTAGGGAACATTTCTGCACAAAAGTGAGTTTGAAATAGTATGTTTTCTACAGAATTGTACAAATGATCACAATAACAAATTAAAACCAGGAAATGACCACTGTCAACTGACAGAACTATCTGGGTCAGTTTATATAGATAATCTTAAGAGTTTGTGTGCATTCACCATTCCCAGTTTTTTTTCTCATCTTTTAAAACAATCTAGCCAACTGTTTCCATTCCAATTCTCAAGACCTCACAGAATATGTCCCCATTGCCCTTTTTTGCTCCGAGTAAGACTTTTCATTTTCCACATTCAGATCCATACTTCCCTTGGATTCCAAATATTTTCAACCCTTTTGCTACCATGCTTCTCATAGCTATTCCAAAATTCCCTGACATCCAGGTTGTGGTGCTTTGGTATATGTCTTCTGCAATCTTGTAAAAGTGTGTAATGTATGATGAACAAGTGAAGTACCACTTCTTGACAAAGAATCCATGAAATTTTACTTCTCATCTGTGATTATAGTTTTATAAGGGAAGTGAAAAAGAATATGATGGATTTTTTGGTCACTGACCCTGATTATAAGAAAAAAAAATAGATATTCAGATTGATTTCTGAAAGAAAAAAAAAAGTGTGATGACTGGTTGTGATGATTTCAAATATTGTTGTGCAATTAGTAGGAGAATTGTATACACAGAAATTGGTGTTAGTGATGTAGTCAAGATGTAAGTCAAAATATGAGGAAGATGGAGACATTGCTTCTTTTTTTTTACACAGAAAACATTTGTTTATACTACAAGACAAATTGTTTGTGCTAGCTGGGGGAAGTGAGTGGTTCCTCTTATTGAGTTAGATAATTGTGCAACAGGTGCAGCCACTTTGATCTGACTTGATGGATTCTTTGGGAATCTCCACTATCTCCTGAACCAATGTCGGTGGGATCACAGCTTCGGCCTGCATTGCAGCTGCAAATTTCTTTTGCACCAAATGGATCACTAGTAGGACGAAAAGTGCACCGCTATATGCGCATCTCATCGTCGCCATCCTCACTGCCGAGTAGATTCCGGACTTTCCGATCGGATATCTGGTGCTCAAAGTAAAGACGAGGGAGTCCATCAATACAGGAAATCAAGTCGACAAACTAACCTGCTAATAAAGTATAAGATGGATAGAAACCGGAAGATGTGGTCGATGAAATGTCTCCTTACAACATGCCTTCAAGCTTTTTGATCGGAGGTTGGATGATCAGAGTGACAGTAGGGCCCAAGAATCAATGATAATGATCATTTTCAAAACAAAAACTTGAAGTCAACATACTGGAATTAGTGGACCTTTGCAATTAAGAAGCCAGGCAACGGCCGGAAGTTTTTCAGGTGAGAATTTGTTTGGACTGGGGTGAGGACTGATCTCAATGAACGATAAGCTCGTGAGACGGGGCTATTAAATATCAGTGAGAATAGGCTCAATTTTCAGTGGCTCGATGGGGTCAGGGATTGAGTTGACAGATGTCTTGACATGGATAGAAGAAGCGGTTTGACGATAAGCGTTTCAACTTGGCCGACGGGCGTCGATGACTCGATGTTATTCTCTATTAGGAATCTTGATCAGACATTTCTTTGCGTGAATAACTTTGGATCTTTTCGCCCGATGAAGATCAATGTATCCTATCAGTATCAGCTTCAAGCAATCGTCACCTTATCAAGAATTTAATTACTTATCAGTATATCAACGTAAATTATAGAAATCCGTGACATAGGCTCTTCAGCTCGCGTCACAATAATAGCGGGTTATCTTACCAATAAACTTCATAAATCAGGACAATTGAATTCGAATTGATGGAGCTTGAAGTGCATGTTGAGGGAAAGTTAGCAGCGTACACTCACTACTTACCAAAGCTAGATAAGGATTGTTCCTGATGTTTGGGTTGAAATGCATTTCTCCAGAAAATTCTGGAATCCTTGACTTGAAACTGCTTCATTGCTTGGCCAAGTTTGAGGTGTGGCTCAAGTCGCATTCGATGGAAAACTCCAGGCCAATTTGACCTCTTACACTCGTGAACTAGTCCGCAGCTGATGGAAGTTCATATCAAGGCAAATTGGAGAGATGGAGCTTGATGGAATCCGGTGGATCGGCCGAAGGATGGAATGGCTCTGCACCGCCCTGGAGCTTCCAACACGAACGCGTCTACTCAAAGCAATCGCATCACAGCACACAAGTCATCCCGGATTTAGGGGTCGATTCCTAGGCCTCAGCTACATTGGCTTGGTATAATCGGGAGTAGGTAAGCTGCAAGATCATATTTGGACTAGCCGGAAACACTAATCCTTGACGGTGTAAGCAAAAAAGAGTAACATAAATCTTAGCTAATTCAAAGCCATCAAGATTCCCCTCAATTTTGAGTCCATACCTTGTCATCAAGAGAGGGCAATGGTGATTTACATTCAGAACTCCCCTCTTCCTGTCTGGGCCTCTCAATCCATATTGCCATGGCAGTGGCAGGGTTTTGTTTTATTCAAAAGCTATGATCTCACACTAGCAGACTTAATTATGATCCCCCTAACTTAATTATGATCCCCCTAACTTAATTAAGTCCTCCCTGGTGGGGGGTTTGCTGGTGTAAAGTGCAGGCTCTCCTGCAGGGAGGGACTTATGACAAGTTGGGGTTCTTGCCTGAGATTATCTTTGAAAAACAGATTCGATTTGCCAAGACTGCAGCATGCAGGAAAAACAAGCTACATGTATAGCTCTTCGGAGGGAAAGATGTACCTGCATCCTAGCTTGCTTTCCCTCATCTCAGCTTTTGAAGATGTATCTTCAATGAAAATAGCAACACAGAAAAACAAAAAAGTAGGCAATTACCATGCTTGAGCCCGTGGGCCCAAGCACAGCCTGAGATGAGTGTGGTCTTGACTTGTCTTGACAGGATTCAAAATTTTGCTAAATAAACCTTGTGTGGGTATCTTGATGAGATTGTGGGCTCTAAAAATCAAGACAGTATTGCTCTTTCTAGGTCCTGGTACAGCCAATCCAGAAAAGGATGGCATCCCCTCCTTGAATGCACCAGCTGGCTTGTGTGCAGATACTACCACTTCATGACCCAGTAAGGTTTTGGTTTGAGCTAGAAGCTCTTATTCTCCTTCAATTCAGCAGGGCACTTAACCTTACCCAGATCACGAAGGGGATGGATCTGCACAAGCAAGCTGGTGCATTTGAGGAGAAGATGCCATCCTTTTCTGGATTGGCTGTAGCTGGGATGACAGCATGAAAACTACAGGCTGGAAAATCCAAACAGTGAAGTTCCCACCTGTTTTGGTGAGTGGGCTCAGGCAAGCACCCCCACAAATTTTGTAAGTCCCTCCCCTCCCTGGGGCCAAACTTACACACAGCCCAAATCCCACCTCCCAAACAGGGAGGGCTTTCTTAATTTAGATGATCCCTCTTCTACCCATTTCTTACCTGAAGAAAATCCTGCTAATCTTCAGCTTCTCACTGTGGAGCTTTAACTCCAAAAAGGGTTATGTTATGTTGCTCAAAGCTAGAGTGATACAATACTGCAATGAATCAGAAAACAAAAAATCTTAAAAAGAGAAGTCTGATTGGTCTATGATCCACCTTGAGTGCTGAAATTGTAAGTTTTTTTTGTGGTAATGCAAGCCTCTTATACATGCTCAATCTGACAGAGCTGAAGCAAATCATGAGATTATACTTGAGGCATGGAGGAAAATAATCCTGAACCCATACACATCCCTCTCAGATTATTATCCAATTAACAGAACCAACAAGCCAAACAAATCTCATTTGATATCTTTGATAAACCTCCCCTTGCTCCCCTGCTGTTCAGCTTGAGTAGTATTCCTTGTAATTGTAAGAGTGAGATCCAACACTTCTCCTGAATGATTAGTAGGATCTCTTCAAGAGTTTGAAGAGAGTGACTTGCAGTACTCTCAAGGTATCCTTGTTAAGTAGGTCCCAGAGCTGTGTGTTTTTGTCCACACAATCCGCTCCATCCCGACCAACACAAACCATTCAGTGTGAAAGGATCCCAGACCAAGTACATGCTACATGCAGATCCACGAGGCCCCACAAGAGCTGGTTGTTTTGACAACACATACATACATACTCCTCTCTTCACACCCACTCTCACAAGACCTTCATGAGCTTGAAACCTGGACAGACCACTTAAGGTCCAACTTAAATCCCATTCTCAGGCTCTCTGTAACCATCTATGGTTAACTTTGTGTCTGCTTCCTCACTGTAAAAGATTGACAGGTCAGGGCTGGCCAGTCGCATGCCTCCCCTCCCACTCCCCAATTTATTTGAAAAATTTGGACTTGCCAGGTCATGGGGGGTGCATGCCAGTGTGGCAGCAATCAAGACTGATCGGCGGTAAGGGCTCTGTTCCCTCCACTGATTTTTTTAAGACTCAAGGGGACACTGGGAGACAGCTTCTACCAGCCTGAAGTTTTGGAGACCCACACAGTAGAGGATTGACTTCAAAAACTATGCGAGTCTACGTAGATGGATGAGAGGAGAGCTCTCTAATCCAAACAACCATCAAATCAAACTGAAAGAGAAGAGAAGAGAGATGAAAAACAAGCAAAAGGCACTTTTACTTACCTAGACAGTCTGCGGTCTATGTATGTAGGTAGAAGAGAAAGGATGGAACCAAGTGCATTATAAAATTAACATTGGCTTTTAAGATAATTATTTGTGCCAGGTCTTGTGAAACCCAGCCAAGCCAAGGGTTTCTTATTGTTGCCCAAGTACTTGGCCATCACACCACTGTGTACCAGTGGAAAATCATCATGCCTACAAAAAAAAACTGGGCAAGTCCTAACTAACTTCTCCAAACACATGGGTGTGGAGCTCTTGTTATAACCAGATACAAATTTGTGTCAAAAAATAACACTTTGTGAGGCCACACCAATAAGATGCATTAATGCCAGGCTTGTCAGATTCTCCAGAGGCAACAAGATATCCAAATACCCACAAGACCTGAATGCATTTGCATCTGTGCATCTGCAAGTATTATATACAAACTTGATTTCATCCTTCAAGCATATAGAGCCAAACCCACAAAAAAGGAGCCTCTTAAATAAGCATCCCACATTTCAACCGTACATACAGTAAGCATCCAGTCAAACAAGATGTGCAACACCACCACCAAAAAAAAAGAAACAAGGACTTTATCTAAAAGCAAGCTCCAGAAAAAAGAAATATATGCGGAAGAGAAAACAATAGGGATTAAATTACCAAACAATCATAAACGTCAAAGGAGATGGATAAGTATGTACAAGAAAAAGGGGGGCTGGGTTTTTTCATGTCTGTACTATAGTGTGTAATGTATCCAAGAACTAAGAATGTGTTGGCAAAAGGAATAAGTAAATAAGATAGGGGTTCATGTGGGAAGGAAAAGAGGGGTGCAAAAATAAAAGCACGGGTTCAAAACTAAAAAGTGGGTAAAAAAGGATGATGATGGATGATGGTAGAATAACAACGACAACAAAACTTAACTGACTTATACTAAGGATAAAACAACACACACATGTAAGGGAGAAGGGTAAACCGATGAAGAGATCGATCGAGACAAAGAGATAGAGAGAGAAAGGAGAGACGAAAAGAAGGGAGGCAGGGCAAGACGGGAAACAGTGTGACAGGAGGAAAGTGTGACATGTTCATTGCGATTGATATACATGGGTAAAAATAGACGTGAGATGGCATGCAGAAGGTCGTTGAGTCTTGGCTGATGGCCACACATGTGTTGTTGAGCAAAAAGAAAAGTAGCAACGATAAGGGTGATGTCTAATAGGCTTGAAAAATAATTAACAGCGGCTTTTTCTCCGACATCGGGAAAAAAAACATGGGGGAGACCGTCGATGGTAGAAGCTGATAGTAGTGCGATGGCGAAAGGGCGCGAGATGATGTTCAAGCTATCAAGGGTCTCTTTGAAAGTGGGTCAAGCACAATAGTCTGCTCATGCTCGCGGCGAAACACAGGTTGTCCTTCCTCGCCGAAGTAGACGTTAGATAGTCCTTCGACCAACATGACTTGGTCATGGTCGACGATCTCGACACAGTCAGGAATGGTTTCTTCCTCGTCTATGTCGTCATTTTCGAGCCAGCCCTTGGCTCTGGTAACACTGATGAAAATTAAAAGAAGGACGATAAAATGTAAGCTCAATGTCAAAATGAGGATAACCAACATGAGCAAATTGCTACGAACGCTCGGTTCCAACCGCGGTATCTCTGTTCTCTCTTCGTTTTGGGGATCGAGGGCCTGAAGATCGTCTTACCAGCTGAGTGGGTAGCAAAGAGAGTTTCAGGACGGTTTAAGTCCCACCCAAACAAACCGATAGCATGACCAGCTAAGAGGGCAGCACCCAAGGCGGTGGTTCTGGGAGACAGTGACAAGTTAGTAAATGTGCTGCATGAGTTGATCATTGGATCGTTGACTCACTCTTTCATCTCAGACCTTTCAACAACTACACCAAGTATGTCAGCCTGCAACTGTAACAAGGTATCACTAGCTGACATACCGCCGTCTACTTTCAACGACTTCAAAGGGCCAGATAAGGTATGGTCGTAGACACCTAACGATTCCCTAGTTTGGAGTCGGGGTCGCGTGGGCGCGTTACGTTTGGCGGTCGGGGTTTGGGGCATGCCATAGGTGGAAAACGTGGAAGACGTGGAAGAAGTAGAGGCAGAGTGATTGTGACTAAAGAATGAGCCTCCAGGGGGAGCAGAGTTAGGCGGGCTGGTGTGACGGGAGGACGAGAGGCCCTGGTCGAGAGCCATGGCATCCAAAATGGCTTTGGTCTGGAAACAAGTAGCTTCAAGCGTTGCGCGAGCAATGTGAGCTTTGGTAGTGAATCCAGTCAGCCCAATCATGAGGCCAGTCGCGCTGTCGTCCCAGCTATAAGAAAATTGCAAACAATGTGTTTATGAGTGCCGGGTTCCGGTATGTGTGTACAAACAAGACTCACTAAGGCGCGAAAAGTCCACTGAATCCAGTGACAAAGTAAACACCGCCCGTGTCGTCTACTGAAGCGGCCAATGTGCCAACCTCACCAGCAGATGAGATCAAGCCCAAATTGTTTTTCAACCTGTTTGATTGGCACCGATGTCAGTCCCAGCAAGAAAAAACCCAAAAAAATGATTGACTTACCATTGGATAGAAGAGCCCGCGACAGCCACAGCACCTTCAAGGGCGTAGGTTGTAGGCCCATCAGGGCCTAAACGGTAGCCAGGCTAGAAAAAAAAAAGCGGGTCAGTAAGATAAGCGCTAATCTAAGGCAACAGGGGAAAAACAAACAGTGGTGATGAGACCGTGGCTGCTGTAAACAGGCTCGGTTCCGGCATTATAGAGCATGAAACAGCCAGTGCCGTAGGTATTCTTGGATTCACCGGCGGAAAAGCATTGGTTACCGACGAGGGAAGACTGTTGATCACCAATAAGTCCCGAGATGAGGAGGCCAGGGATATCAGGATGAGTGGAAGGAACGGAGCCGAGATTCTCAGAGTTCGAGACAATCTTGGGTAACAACGGAATCAATTGGGCTGAGTTAAACCCAAAGAAGTTCATCAACTCCGGGCACCAATCGAGGGTCTCTAAATCCATCAACATGGTACGTGATGCGTTGGTGACATCGGTGTAGTACGAACCGCCGTTGATGCCGCCGGTGTAATGCTGATCAAACAGAAACAAAAACAACAATTAGCTTCTTCAATTGAGGGGGTTCAAATGTCTTGAGGCGCGAGAAAAACTAACCCAGAGTAGATAGGTGTCAACGGTTCCGACAAGAATGTTGTCAGAATCCATGGCTGCTTGCACTGCCGGTACGTTGTCTATAAGCCATCTGAGCTTGATGGCGGTGAAGTAGTTGCTGAGGGGCAAGCCAGTTTTGCCTTTGAGTTGGTCAGCTCCTTGACCCCATTGGCTGGCTTTGTTTTCAAAGCGATGGACGATGGGAGTAGTACGCGAATCGGACCAAGCGATGGCGTTGTAGACTGTTCGAGCAAAAACAAAAAAAATCAGATTCACGATGTTCTTGAGACATGAGGGGAATAAGTTCTGATTGCTTACGACTTTGACCGGTGGTCTTGTCCCAGACAATCGTGGTTTCACGTTGGTTGGTGATACCCATGGTTTTCAAGTCGGTGATCTGATGTCCCATCTTTTTGAAGTCAGCAATGGCATGGGTGATGCAGGTGTCGATGGCCTGAACCCAGTCACGTGGATCTTGCTCGTGCCATCCTGGCTGAGGATAAACTGAGATGAGATAAGAGGGAGAACCAGAGTCAGAGGAGGCGACCGAAGAAGGGCCAAGATGAGGTGAAAGAGGCTTACTTTGTTTGTATTCTGCTTGATGGCTGGCGATCACTTTGGCATATTGGTCGAAGATGAAGAACCTCGCGGAGGTTGTTCCACAATCAATGGCACTGTTGGCGTAAAGGGTCAACAAGGTAGCGTGGCGCAGGTCAGACTGATGCTTCTGAGAAAGTCAATGGCGAAGAACAACAAGCTTACCCAACGAATTCAGGCATGATCTTGTGAGGAAAAAGTCGAGTGTGTGGGGAGGATGAATAGGTTGCGGAAGCAGGGGAGAAGAAGGTAGGATACCGGGGCAGCAAGCTGACGAGGTAAGATTCAGGAATAGAGGGGGAATTGGCACAGCAACGGGAGATGTTGACTGGGCAGGTTTGCAATAAGTAAGATGATATCAACAATCAATCAATCGATCACAAGAATTGAGTTTGGATGGGTAGGAATATGAGAGTGGTAAATAGATTATTGGGGGTTGTTGGTTGTTGGGGTGTGTGTGGAGAGATGATTCCGATGGCGTAGGTGGAGGGTCCTTAAATGGTTTGACCAGATGTGTTTTTTTTTGTAAACCAAGTCACAAAGAAGTGTCGTGAAGGAGCCTAAAAGGGTATGGGAAAGACGCACGGAAGAGAAGAGATTGAAATGGCTGTATTCGGATGGGGATGAACAGCTAAGACGATGATGTACGATGACCAGGCAGGACTACAAGGGCTATGATGATGATGATGATGATGACTGGGTGCAACCGGGGAGATTGTGGATTAACAATGACTATGTCTAAGGGTTGTTGTAGGTGGTTGTAGAGGACCCAAGCCGCAGACGGACGAGTGAGGTTTCGATTGAGTTTAGTTATTATTTAGTTGCTTTCTGTTTCTCTTTGGGTTTTGAGGGGGGTAAAGTGTGTAGGAGTGGGAAGTCAGGAATCGAATGGGTGTGGTTAGTAGGGATCTTTACGTTGTGGGGGCTATGTGGAGTCAAGTGAATGCCAACCGAATCGGTATTTTATCTTATTTTTAGTTGGTGTGGAGAGAGAGAGAGAGAGTTCATTAACTTACTAAGGAGGATGTCCAGGCCGAGGGGTTGAGTGGGACTGGTTTGGAGCTGGCTGTATGCTGTATAGTTGTGGCGAAAGAGCACTGTTGAGATTTTCACTGACAATCTGGGGTAAACTAGCCGATTACGTATCTGTCGCATGGAGGTGGGGGAAGGCGGCAGAGGGACTCGGACCCCTTCTTATACATTCTCAAAATAGAAGATTCCTCCGAGCGCCCAGGCCGGGGAGACTGAAAAAACTCACACACGCCTGAGCTACAGGCTGAGTATGTATGCACTTGAGCAGCCAGGATGTGCGGGTCATATGGATCAGTAAGCGATTTCCTATTTAGTACATATTCATTTATCCGTTTATGTACTTCATTACCCCACTCTTCTTTTTTTTCTCGCGTGTGTGCCTTCCTGTTGTAGATCTTGATTGCACATGAGTCTTCACTCAAACCTTTTGAAATTGATGGGCTATCACAAGACTCTTTCTTTTGGCTTACATACTCAAATCAACCAAGCTTATAACAATTTCGGAAAAAGCCAAAATTGAGGTCAAAGGTGAACTTCAGCTTAGGTAAGACGTCTTAGGGAGCATTTGCAGCTAATTGATTTGATACTCTTGGCATATTGAGGGGGGGGGGGGGGTAACTACATAACAATGTAGGCTACATGCACACCACGACTCCCAAGTCAAGACCAGCGGTGACGTATCTTGCATATATCGTAAGATAGACTGCCAAGCGGCAAAATAAGGAAGGCCGGGGATGAGCAGGAGGGGTTTCAGACGCTCTCGGATTCGGACAGTGTGTGGACACGAAAGTTTTCCATAGGCCCCAAATCAGCTGATTAAAGGCCGGAAGGAGGCCGATCGCCGGTCACATATGGTGTATCAAGGCACGCTGGGCACAATCCCAAGTCCCGCTTGGCCGAACGCCACGGGGGCCTGGGAGTGTGCCCAGGGGGCTTGATTGGGCAACTCGCGCGCGGCTCGGATCTTGGCACACAGCCAAGTCCCGCTTGGCCGACCCCAAGCGCTGGGCCGATGAGATCATCAACACACCCCGATCTCACCTCCTCATCTTGTCCGACACACCATCACCTCCTCATCTTTTCCAACACACCAATGCTATGTATAGCTTCAGGTGTTTAAAGCAATAATAACCCCCCCCCCCCCCATTGAGTTATAGGAAGAGAGGAGTGAGACGGAGGGTTGAGGATCGAGGTGGTGAGTTGGTTTTGGCGCGGGTGGCACCCTCGCTTGGGCTCGGCCAAGCGAGGCTTTGTCCCAACCCCCGCCAGCTTTGGCATGTGCCAAGTGGGGGTTGGGAGTGTGCCAAGATTGCTTTAGGGTGTGCCACGCGCGCTTGGGGATCGGCCAAGCACGCTTGGCTTGTTTTTTGCCCAACTCGGGCATGTGCCCAGCGTGGCTTGATACACCATACATATATGAGACTTGTCACTTGACACCATGACCATGTCATCAAAACCCATCCAAAAGCTGCGGGAAGGAGGCTTTTGACAAACCCATGGGAGACCGCCGATGGTCCTCTATAGTCTTTTTCCACTAATGTATCTCCATGTTCGTCTATCTACGCAGCTGGATTGTTTTCACCTTGCAGCCTGCAACGGTCCTTGATTCGTCCGGAACTTGGCCAAGTCCCTTCTGCAGGCCTCCAGGGGAGCTCGGATTCATCTCTTGATCGGGCTGGATCCTCGGTATGGATGGCATACGAAATCGGGCCATGGACAAGGATGACATCCATTCTTCACAGCGTCGATCGGCCGAACATTTTTTTTTACATGCACATGGCCCGAGGGTACATACATATCATTGACGACCCGCTTTAACGAAAGTTTGCAGTGAGTTCGACAGGGCCACTACATAGACAATTTGAGAAAGGAAAACCCAAGCGAAATTCGGCAGGTAGGAGATGAAGGAAAACCCTGGAAAAAAACCCCAGCCGGGTTCCATGAGCTTCCGAAGCGCATCACCCATAGCCAATAACATAATCGACTGCGGAACCCCGGCGGGATCTAGGAGTTGCACGGTTTATGACGGTGAACGGCCATTGTGACGTCAGGAGAGACCAAAGGGTGGCGCCAAGGAAGAGAGAGACTGAGTCTGGCATGGCTGACGGAGCCATGTGGAGTGTCGACTGGGATGGACGTTGGAAGGGATACATAAATACATGCGCTCGTATCTCTGAGCATCTATCGCGGAATAAAGCGGGCCGTTGATAGTGATACGTCACAACAATATAACCCCACCCGGGATCATAAGACCCAGACGCAGGACGGAGCATTATCCTCCAGGGATATCGACGCTTATCCGGCCCCAGTCGATTGAGATTCCTGCCAGGCAAGCTTTTTGCACGTTTCCTGCAGTACACTGCAAGATGTGCTGTGCTCTATTGTATACCACAGCTCCAACGTTGAACGCTGTTGGATCGTGAAGGTGGAGATCCGGGTCTGACAAAGGACCCAGATCACTCGCAAAGCAAGACCACATAATTAGCTCAACAAAGCTATAGCCTCTTCCAAACGGTCTTTCAAAGCCTTGACCGTCATGCGCAGTATCCTCGACCTTCCTGCCCCTTCTTGCTCAACCCTTGTGCCGGTGCGATTAAGGTATGTTTGTATGGATTTAGAGGATCTTTAGGCGCGTGTACTTTTACCCCACACTTTTCTGTAATAACCGACTCCGAGTTACCCCACACTTTCCATGACTTACCGACTCGGCAACTCCGAGCTGTATGTGTGTATTGCTCCGAGTCCAAGAGCAGCTTTGCCCCACGCGGAACTCACACATGTTGTACCACCGAGGCTGTATCATACACACATACATACCCCAGATTCCGACTTCCAAATCACAAATCCGGGGTACATGATACAGATAAAATATGAGAATCTATGAGAATCCTTGCTTAGTGAGTATGTCCCAGTCCCACAGCCATGTCAACAACAACAGCCATGAACTATGAGAGGCTGAAATGCTGTAAAAAGAGTGGACCTCCTTCTCATCAAGTGGTTCAGGTGATGGGATGTAGTGCTCCATTTTCCTCAAGTTTTGGCACAGAAGAAGCCATCTCATCAACAGATTGCTCTGCCAAGGCAAAAATCTGTCAGATCTGCACCTCCAGATGCAGCCAAAGGTTGGATGGCTTTTTTACAACCAAAAATTCTGTGTAATCTGTCTATACAGATCCAAGGGGAAGTCATCAGGCTATCCATAAAGTCAAGACTAGTATATACACCACTCGTGCACTTTACATTGCACAAAAAAAAACATCCCAGGTGCATCCAAATCCATTTGAAGAGGAGATCCACCTTCACAAGAAGGCTCTTTTGGTGGCTTTTTGGTAGCTGGGGCACCTTGAGAGTCAGAACAAAGCCATCCCAGAAGTTGATTTGATATCCCAAATTGCACCCACAATGAGGTGAGGGCAAGGTCTCTAGTTGACCCTCCAAGTAAATTTATGGCTGGTGACATGGTCAAATATTGAGAGAAATCCTTGTTGGTCAGAATCCAAAGGGTTTTGTGAATCTTGAAATAAAACACAAAAGCTTTTCCAGTTGAATGGAATAGATTATCATCACAACTTGATGTACCAGTTTGCCAAAGATGGGTGGTCAATATATATCTGGTGTGTTTCTGCTTCTTGCCAAGAGGAAATCTCCCACTGAACTAGCACAACTAATTCTAATAGGTCCATGTGTGTAGGAGAATTCCTTTTGGGGATTCCAAGTATAATGCATAGCATGTGACATGAATGTAAGATGGGTGATGGAAGGTATGAGGCACAAAGATCAAAAATGAAAAAGACAACTCCAACAGAGGTGCTTCACTCCCTCCTTCCTAACCCTTGGACAAATATGAATGGATGGGTAGAAGGGCAGGGGAGTTAGTGAATCTTCTCTTCCAACACTCTTAAACCAACCAATGTGGTGTTGACTCAAGGGGAGAAGAATTGTCAGGCTCGGGCAATGCCAAGGCAATAGGCCTTCTAGCTACGCCGGCTGATGGGTGGTTTGGGTAAGCAAATGAGAGAGGAAAATACCGAGGGGCCCAGATCTTTGGGGGTTTTTACGGTGCCCTCGGGGATACAAGCCTAGGTCTCATATAAAGACTTGGTAGCGGCTACTACGGGGTCTCGAAGATACTCGAGGGTATTTGGTCTGCGTATCGGAGTGATGGACAGAGGAATAACCAATAAAGGTATTCCTAGCAACAAATCCTGGCACTTACAGCAGCGGTGGGCCGCTACGCTACGCTACGCTTTTGACCCAAAAAGCGTAGCGTAGCGGCGCTTTTTTTCATCCAAAAACGGTAGTGTTAGCGTTTTTGTAGCGGTTTTTCGCTACGCTACGCTGCGCTACAGCGCTTTTAGCGGAAAAAGCGGCCAAAAACCACTAAAAAGCGCTGTAGCGCAGCGTAGTGGGCCCTTTTTTGCGGCCCACACGCGTAGCGTTAGCGGTGTCGTGGCCGAATCCCGCTACGCTACGCTATAGTTGCGTGGAATTCCGCTACGTTACGCTGCGCTAACCGCTACGGTTAGCGTAGCTGGCCCAGCGTTGCTTACAGGGTGGATCGGTGGTGCTCTGAGTAGTGGAATGAGGGTTGGAAAAGGAGGCAAACTGGAAAAAGATGGGGAAAATTACTAAGCTGGTAAAACTGATGATTTCTAGCTACCTTGTTTACTGGTCCCTTTTATACTGTAGGTACCAGTAACCAAAACTGGAAAGGGAAAGAGAAGTTGACCTCACCGGTCATCTCTGAGAATCTAGGATGATGTATAATTTCTAAGGAGCTTTGACAGGGGAAATCTTCTCATCTCATGTCACAGTCTCCTGTCATGATGTATTTTAATATGTCACTAGTTCCTGTAAAGGGCATTTTATGTCATTATTTACGTAATACTATTTGATTATTAGATCTATTACTTATTATCTTGAGTTGTTTATGGAAATATTGCAGGTCAGCTTGACTCTGTAATAGTAGCAAGCTGACAAGAATCATATTCACACATCTCCCTGCCCTTTGACCAATCAAATTTTTCTCAGAAATTCACCTAAAACTTGAGTGATACATTCATATTGGTACCAGTTCAATGAAGAAGAATTGTGGATCTTTCTTTGAATATGATACCACATTATCCTGAGATGAATTGCATGAGTCTGAACAGATTTGAAGCATAAAAATTTTGTAAAATGGTAAAAACTCCTCTCAGCCCAAATCTTTGTACAAGAAAGCGGAGGAGAGGAACTAGCAAATCTCCTCCCCCTGCCATTTTTTCAGGACAATTAATTGCTTTTTTTGGGAGAGGGGGGGATATCCACTGTCCCTCATCAATTTTGACCAGCACAGCTAAATCAGAGTGTATGAGGAGTAGATGAACTCCTTCCCCCCGCTTCAACCAACTCCTTCATATTGGGGTAAGGTTGTAATAGGAGACTCAATTCATGTGCTCCAATATTTATAACCCCATAGGGGTACAGTGGAAATCTTGATTGAGTGGATATCAACCTCCTATGATTTGTATGAATCAATTAATCCATACTGGGGTGAGGGTGTGGGACCGAAAGTGAGTCTGATGGTCCCCTTGCAGTGATCTATTAATATGAGGATCAAGTTAACCATCTAGTGGTGAGAGAGGATGAGGGTACATCAAAGATGGTTGAATTATCACCTACTCTGGAGACAGGATCAGATGATCCAATCATCCCATATTTTGAAATTGAATATCCATATATGCTGTAGATAGGTGTATGGCTTATAACATGAATGGAAGATTCTGTTGTGAAATTTATAATCACCAAGATTTGAGCTTTCTGATGTTGTAGAAACATGACCTGTCAAATGAAAAATAACTGCATTCAGTGCAAATTTTACAAGTCAGATTTTTGCAAGGCCACATTTCAAAGAGTATAAACAATATTGACCATTTCCTTATGAAATTACACCTAAACTTGGCTGATGTGCCACTGCCATCATACTTTGTAAGGTTGAGTACATCTCAGTTAAACTGGTTGAGTACATCTCAGTTAAACTGGGATACCCTCACCTCAGCCAATGGAGGACTTTCTGTTGCCTAAATTGATTGATTTAAAAGAGGGTCCCAAATCTATTGGCTGGTTCAAATTCAATCTCAATCAATTTTCACCAGCAAAAAATATTTAGGAATCACTTCTAAACAAAACAATTTAGATGTCCAGAAGTCCTTCAATTGTTTTGGGTGTGCATTTTTAGAGAGCTTGACCTTTTAATTTTTAGTTTTTGAAAATTCAATGTCTTCACTTAAAACATCAGTCTTGTTTTAATGGAAACTGAATAACATTGTGGTCATACATTGTAATTTAATGTGGAAAGCACATTGAGTCAGTTACATGGTAAAGGTCAAACTGCATGGCTATGAGCCAGGGTTAATGGTGCCACCCCAATTTTTTTTGCCCCTAAAGGCTATTGATCCCGGTGCCAATACAGAAACTGCAAAATTTGGTAATCCAGGGGCAGGGAACAAGATGTTGGCGGCAAAAAAAAACTGATTTTAAAAGAAAAAAATCTGCAGAAAAATGTAGAAAACAGTTTTTAACACCATCAAACCCACTATGAGCTTTTTAGAGGAGGTATTAGGGGGTATCAGAGCAATAATTTCCTCTCACTTTGGGATTTGCCATGTATGTCAATGAAGGGAAATTTGAAATCCAAAATGTTTCAAGTGTCCCACCAGTAGACTGAAGTACAACTTTAGAGCTTGAATAGTGAAAGTTTCAGAAAATAATTGACACCATTTGAGTTGGGATGAGGTCTGAAAAGATTGATGGTTAAGTCTGCTAATTCTATGCAGTGAGAAGCAAGCAGGGCATACGAAGTGACCATCATCCTTCTAGACAAGATGAAGAGGTTTGCCGGCCAATTCTTGGCTTTGAGGATAAGTACAGCACCGTCTCCTGGACAAGATGGTAGAGGTGCATTATTGGCAAGCAAAGCAGCCAATCATTTTGATTTCTTTGGACTTGGTATCCTCTTACCATTATTACTGTTACTTGGTCTCATTGGACCAGACCGGGGTTTTTTGCTTCATTGAGATCTACGATTTTGTCTGTTCTTGGATGTCTGGGTGACCTGCAGCTTTTCAACCAAACCACCTTAGGAAATCAGTAGGATCACTTTACAAACCTGAGTGATTTTGGATTTGGGGTTTGAGATGGCCACAGCTCTGAATTCAATCGAGTCTTATTGGGCCCTGTCTAGTAGGACTGATGTACAGTGCCCTCCCAGTTGTTTATGGCACATGTATTTCTTAATTTAAAAAAAAACTAACGATGATAAATTTCCAATTCTTTGTGGAGTGGCGGAATGGGGGATGATAAGAAGGAATATGAAACAAAAAAAAACAAAAAGCAAAATTCATTACATTTCAAAAAAATGAAAGCATCATTCAAATTTTTTATTTTCTTTAATAATTTTTTAAAAAATACAAAATCAAGTGGGGAGGGTAGCTGGGATCTGGTTGATAATGATTATGAAATAAAAAAAGCAAAAAAATAAAAAATAAAAACAAAAAAAAATATTTGATTGGCCCACCAGAGGCCTCCACAACCAGGTGCATCCGGTGGGGTTGTTGCTGCTGGTTGACCTGAAGATGTGGCACCGTTGATGGCTGGGACACAGATAGTCTTTTAGGATGATCGGATGGGCCATCTGGCCGAGTGATTGTGGATGGGCCGTCTGGCCAAGTGGGTGTCGGAGGAGAGCCAGCGACCTCCTCAACTGTTTCGTGGCATGACATTGTCGACTTGGCAATCGGCTCATGGATGTGCCGGTCGTGAGGTTGGTTCATCCTCGTATATGTCATGAGTTCCTGGTCACGATGAATGCAAAAACAAGAAAAAAAATCAGAAGATGAAAAAGAAAAAAGAAGAAAATAGCAATAGCAATAGAAATGCGAACCTCATGAGTGTATCAATGCTGTTCAAGGTATCAATCTTGATTGGTATCGATGTTTTTCCGAGTATCGACTTCATTTGGAGGTTGATTGTTGATGATTTGGTGATCCAATGAGTTGAGGAAAAGAGGTTGACTTGCACCCGCACACTGCAGTTTAGTGCGCGGGTGCAAGTCAACTTGTGACAGTTCACCCCCAGACATAAACATCTGGGAGGATACTGTACATTCTAGGAGAGGGAAGCCAGTTTTCTCATGTTTCTGTAAATTTTGTTATCAGTCACAAGGCTCTGTATTCCGGTAGTATTTTTTCATCGTATCGCCCTCCCATCATCCCAAACATCAAGGGTGACAATGGACATCACTAGAAACCTCTGTCTGATTTCGTACAAGCCCTCAAAAGCGGGACTTCAAGGTTTCAAGTTGCTGGAGAAAAGAATGAAGGAAAGTGATATGAAAAGAAATACAGGAGTCTGAGATAGCCAGTCATCAGAAACGAGAGTGAAGACCTAAGAGCTACTCGGGTTAAGACAATATGAATAGGTCATCATGTCTTTCGCGCCCCCAGAATCAGGACTGGGTTCGGTTCGCCACAACTCCTGACCTGAACTTTGGGTACCGACCAGGTGGCAGTGTTGTGATATTTCTTCGTGGACTTTTCCACTTCCCACTTCTTCGCCCCCTGAGTGTTCTCAAGATTTGAGCTGGTGTAAGTAGACTCGCCTTCAGCCGAAACAAGTGCCGGCTTGTAAATCGTGTGATCGCGTTTCAAATCCCCTGCTTCAAGTTCCATGGGGAAATCTGAGAGATTCTGTGTTCGATGGCGAATTTTACTTGTATGTGATTGCTCCTTAAGGGTGGTGAGCTGGGTGTGATCCACTCTTAATGAGACTTGTACAATACGCCTGCTTTGGTTCGCACTTTGACCTCTTTTAATCAGATTGGGTTTACATTTCGTGATGAAGTTCGGATCGATGTACCACTACCAGCAGCACGTTGTAGGGTTAATACTTCTTACTGCGTGCTCTCTTCAAGTAGTCCAATGTATGCATCCACGCTACTTTGGGGAGGCTATAACCGAAAGCTTAACTGAGCCGTTGGTCCAAGGTATGTCGTGCTTTGCTTTTACTTCAACCTATACAGGAAGACTCAAACATCACTATTCCTACCAATGTGCCCGTGGTCGAACCATAGACAACAGCCTCTCGCTGACTCACATACTTCGAGACTCAACTCCCTCTCCAAAGTCCGACGAACGAGAAAAGGTCGAGCAACACATTTCCACGATACCCCAGCTTAAATACCAAGTTGGAAAAGTGAAAAAAACTGGTAAGCTCCTCACCCCACAGGTCGCACATTCAGGAACAGAAATAACAGAGCTAATCTAGTCCATCAAAAAACCTTGCATCTTGTTTAATACTGCCAACGGCAGAGCTTCCAAAAGCTGAGTCTCAGGGAACAAATAGTGAGTTGTTTCCCTGTTCTTCAAATCCTAAAGCTACCTGGTCCCCCACCAACTCTTTGGCTAACCATCAATTCATGATTTTCAATAGATCGACTAATTGAATCGAGGTTAGACGATTTGAAGTCTCTACGTGAATCCCTCAACAGAATCAGAAGCGACCCTGGACTACTCTTTGGATATGAAAACCCAAGCAAATATCTAAAACCGCATCCTTGGAATCAAGATCAACCATTATATAAACATGTGCAACGATTAGACGAAATACACGAAAAGATAGAGCAAACCTATCCCCCTTTGAGGCTTGTGTTAGGCGAAAAATTGGTGTTTGTGAATTTCAAAGCTTTTTGGAATAATCGAGAAACTGAACCCAACATGTTATACCTACCCCCCCAAAAAACTTTTGAAAACAGAAATTCACCGACAATTCTTAAAGAGCCTCTGAAGCTTAAAGAGATCAAAGATATTGGGATACAACTTGTCAAAGAACTCACCATCTTGTTATCGAGTACACAATCCGAATATCGTGGTCAAAATCAACTACATTTCTTGAATTTTCAAAAGCTTGTCTGTGAAACGGTCTATTACTTCCACAAGCATCAGCTGATACCCCGAGAAAACCTTGGGGTTCTGATCACAAACGAAATCGCTTCGGAAGGTTTCTCAAGATATATCTTACAATCCTTTGTTTATGATCAGAACGTTTCAAGGAATTGGCTTCCGCTGAATTTGAAAAACATCCTCAATAACTGGTATCACTTCTCCTGTGGAAATATGTTTAAAGGTAAGCAAGCTACATTCTTCCCGAGGTTTAAATATTTGAATACTTGTTTGATCAAGTCCTTCCGACCTTTAACTTGAAATCTTGGATAGATCTACCGGAAGTACCCAAGAATAATTTCTTGTATTACTACAATAAAGCAGGTTTTGAGTATTACCGAACTTATCCAGTATTCAGAAAGAATCCAGCGCTGAAAGGGGTGATGGATCAAATGGAAGAGCTCTTGTTCGATAAACATCCGACCAGGCCAGAAAACCTTGCCAAAAGAGTAGGTAATCGAAACTCATTTGTAGTGACGATTCCAACCGACAGTATCCTCGCATTGGCCAACACTTTCATCCAAATCCCTCCACAAGGTCGATCCGATTCAGAATTAGCTCATTTATTCCAAGTCATCGAATACTTCACAGACGTCAATCCCAGGGCATTTCAATTACATAAACAAGATACTGACTTCCAAAAGAAGTATGATTTGATGTGGACCAGTAAACAGTTTCTTACCAAGATTGAAAACCTGCAGATTTATTTGGAAAGTAAATTTAATCCGAAGGCTGGCTTGGATTCCATTTTCGATCATCCAACAAGCTCTAACAACATCAAATCCATAAACTCAATCAGCCATTTCCAAGAACTCGAATTCCTGGCAAAGTATCTCAAAATCATTCGAGCTGATTATCTGGAAAAAATCGATAATATCTCCGCACTTGATCCATACCATCAATACTGTCAACGTGAACTGTTTGAGGATAGCTTCAAGTGGACAGAGAAGATGATCACTCAGCTTGGCCAACCTTCATAAAATCTCCCCATTCAATTATATGTTTATAAAATTATATTGTTTATTAGAATTGAGATCGATTATCCTATGTCCACTTTATATATAACAACTAATAAAACATTCCTCTCTTGGATTTCATGTAATTATTGTGGGTATCCAGTAGTTTTTTTCATTTGTTCAAATTTCAAATTGGAATGCTTTTTGGGGGGGAGGAGATTAATGACCCTATACCAGACCAAACAAAGGATAATCAGTATTATGCATGCAGAGAAGTCTTGTGCACAGTATGAAATCAAAACACCATATTAGAAAAAGCATATAAAACTATTCAGGGTTGAAGGAGAGGAACAAGCAATGGATGTATCAACATAAGACAGGATATTTTGAAACATTTAGAGTGTAGTGTGGCATAGCAAAACCTGCTCATGGTGAGGGGGTGTGGTTTCCCCTCAGCATGACCCATTTGCAATCAAAAATCATAGCTTAACACGTACAAGCCCTTTAACCAGAGGTTTGTCAATACCTTGAAAGCAAGCCCCCAAAGGAAGGGCTTGGGCTAAGTTAACAAAAAGCCACACTTGTTTTAAAAATTGGGCCACTATGATGGCTGCTGGTGGCCATGTAGCATAATTAGCCTGCCAAGATGTCTAACATTGGTAGTATGAGTTGGCAATGATGAAGATCAAAACCAGTGAGATTCCAGAATTGAACATGTCTACCAATTACTGATCCCTTCCTACATCCATCAGTGCATTAATGAGAGTGTTAAGTTTTTTTCTGGTGGTTTCAAGAGCCATTCCGCTTACCTTATTATCCCCCTGCTTTTTGACAAAGTTTTTTGTTTGGTTCTCTTCAAAGCTTCCTTAGAGATCTTCATTCTTACTACATTTCCACGGATAATTACATCTAACTATCCAATTCCATGGACTCAAATTTACAAGTAATAACAGGTACCTTTCATAAAGGAACATTCACTGATGATGAGTTCCTAAGTAGACCAAAAGCTTGCTGCTTAATTTTTTGTGAGTAAGAATGGCTTCCATGAGCTTGAAAATGTGTGTGTTCCTTACTCATATACAATCCATGGTGGAAGATGCCTTTTGGTCAAGCCTTTCTTTGTGTTCATGAGTTGTGCTCCTTTTCTAGGATGGTAGTAGACAAGTTGGTCCCTAAAAGTGCTGTCTGAGATCTGTGGAATATCATCAATCCTACAAAATTATGGTCTGGTTTCTTGAATTTTTCTTTTTTTTTTTTTTGAATGCTCTGTTGAAAGATAGGTATTTTTATCCATCAGCCCATCCCCTCCCTTGTTGATGACAAAGTCATTTTGATGTATAATCACAAAAAAAACCAGACCCACCCTTTTTTTGTCATGCAGTGAGTTCTGTTCTCCCCTGTGATGTGGTTGGTTATGGCCAACCAAATATTTTTTGATTTGTATAGACCAATTTGATGATGAGTTGATGTTTCTGGTGTTTCGGCGCAGTTTGACAAGGTTGAGGATTGTTACATTTTTAAATTTTCCTACTATGAACATACACATACGACCGATCGCTCAAAGAAACACGAAATCCATTCAATCCAGTCCAGTACAGATTCATCTGAAGATTACATAGAGCCGAGGAGATCGCCGAGGACGATTGCGAGTACATACACGTCGGACGAACGGGCGCTTACATAGATCGGATCAAGACAGCGACTTTGTCGAGCCACATACAACGACAGCAGGCCGAGTGATACACATGATGAGCACCAACAATAACAATCACTACAGGGGATGGACGACGACGAGTGTGGGCGAGGAAAATGAGGAGCTAGAGGACCTGCTGAACCATCTCTCATCGGCGGCAGGCGACCGAGGATTGGGCGAGGGGTCCGGCCTGGACGACGAGACCATGCCGGCCTTCGACGACATCCTCCAGCCTGCCTCTTCTTCCACCGCCCGCGACCGTGCTGGCCTCACCGCCCTCCTTCCCTTCGATTACCCACCCGACGGCCACGAACACGACGACGATGATGATGATGATGAAGACGATGAAGACGATGAGGATGATGATGAGGATGTAGACGAGGAACGGAAGGCCGCCGTCCAGGCGGCAATGAGAGGTCTTCACACCCCGTTCACCCATCTCAGTCGCTCCGAACGGGCCCAGACCCTCATTGAAGAAGACGGAGAAGAAGAAGACGAGCAGTCGGACGAGGAGCAAGTGAAAGGCGGGAAAGAAGAAGAAGAAGAAGGGTGGGAGATGGCTAGGCCCATAGAGGAAGAAGGAGCGGAGGGCCTTGTGAAGATCGAATCGGAGGACGAAGAGCCGTCGGCGCTTCCCACGATCTCGCTCGATCATCGAGAAGCGAGCCCCTTAGGACTTCCCGAGCGACCTGGAGAAGAAGAAGAAGAAGAAGTGGATCCGAAGGAAGAAGAAGAGGAGGAGGAGATTCCGGCGACGCTCGGAGGAGTGGACGCCGTATCGAGCGTGCCCGAGGACGGGCCGACAGGCTCCTCGGAGCTGGTGATGCGCGACAAGCCCGGCGTCGCTGGGCTGCCGATCCGTGGACCCAATAGCACCGAACGGCCCGTCTTCGTCAACCCGAAACAGTACCAACGGATCATCAAACGCAGACTGGCGAGGGCCAGACTCGAGGAAATGGGCCGCTTGTCTCGCGAACGTCAGGTCCGCTCTTCTTCTTCCTCATCTTCTCCTTGCGCATTCATCATCACCACTCATCTTGTCTGCATACGTCTTCCTTAGCCCTATCTTCACGAATCAAGACATAAACATGCCGTTCGTAGACCGCGAGGACCACGCGGAAGATTCCTAACCAAAGTAAGTACATAATCACTCCGTTCTTGACTTTTCTTTTTCATCTCAAAAATCATTGATCATTTTTTGGTATCGTTTTTTTGTGGGATGGATGGTGTACTTATAGGAGGAATTAGCTCGAGCTGACCATCCCAACATCGACCCAACACCCGATCCTATTCCTACTGCAACCTAAAAAGCACACCCTACAGTACAACATCCCTAAGATCTGTGGATCCTTTGTAATCAAATAATATCCTCTTCCCCCCGTAATACTGCATTTGTCATAATTAGGACTCAAGACGACCCTTCTTGATTGCCGGACAAGCAATGTTTCTTGGTTGGGGATCAAGGGGTTCAACTCTGGGTGTGACAATGCAGGCCTAACGTCTACACATGTACGCTGTATTTATGTCTCGTTTTGGCCAAGCAGTCGAAAACAAGGGAGCCCACTTTATTCCTTATCCGCGTATCTTGAATTACTCAACAACATAAAATCGGTCTTGCTTTATATGTACAACCAAATTACATCACAGAAAAAACCCATCAAAGAGAAGAAGATTATCGTCATCAGCAAAGGAATAAAATACGCTTTTGTTATACAACAACACCAAATTCCTTCGGGGTTGTTTTTTGTTTCATCAGTGGGTGATCAGACTGTGGCCGCGAGGAAAGCAATCTGCAGTTCCATTCGTTTCTTTCTGAGGCAACTTTTATGGTCTCTTTCGGATAGCCAAACAGACACAGCCGCCTTGTCTTCTTCTTCTTCTTCTGATAAGAATAAGAATAATAATAGCAATATTAATAATAATAATGATGATGATGATGATGGTGTCAAGACGAGGATCAGAGTCTCTCTGTTCATAACTTGCCCAAGCATCCAAATCCTTTTGACATCAATCTTCCACTCTTGTTTTTTTTTTGGTTATTATTTACAAACAAACCAAGGAATTAAAAATGAGAGTTTATGTGTAAATCAGATCCCATGAGAAAAGACAGAAAAGGAAAGAAAAATGTTCTTTTATATATACACAGCGATTGTCTATTGTACTTCCAATCTAAAAAAACAAGAAGAAGAAAAAAAAGAGGGAAGGAGAAAGGGCAGAGTTTTAGGTGGTGGTGAGATTGCCATATGAGTGATGAATAGAAACTGAGTGTTTTTTTTTTTTGAAAGAATGAAGGGGAGAAGAGAAAGGATGACTCTCAAGAGTCAGCAAAAAGGAGCGGGGATTTCGGAGACGAGTTCGATGATGATAGCTTGGGAGGGGGCGATGTGTAGTTGGAGAGGCCCGGACGGAACGGGAAGAGTCTGATAGAGCGGGGGGCTTCGGAAGGTGCAGTCGCGATTATCGAAGAAGGTGTTTCCGAAGGAGACGTGATCGGGGCTGAGCATGCCTGTGGCGGAGACGAAGGCATGTTTAGCGGCGAGACGGAGGAGACGGACGCGGAGGACGTCCGGAGGCAGGCCGTGGATCTCGACCGGCTCCGGCGACCTTGCGGGGCTGTCGGGGCCGCGAAATTCGGAATGGTAGATCACTAGACGGACCAGTCGGCCACACTTCCAGAGCCCATACACCGCCACCTCCGGCCGCGAACTCGGAAGCCGACTCAGCTCGGTGGCTCCGCGTAAGGCTAAGGAGACGAAATAGGCCCCGTAATAGGTCGGCGAGACTTGGGTCGCATTCCAGAAACTATATGGACCTGTCCATTTAATTATCTGGGTTAATCAATCACTCTATTCGTCGACGAGTTCTTGGGAAGTCTAGCACTCTTGAGAATCATCTGCTTAACTGTGGTTGATCGTGCCTTGATGAAAGTAGAGTCGATTGACGCCTAACAGGAGTGCTTGAAACACATAATCGATCAGCCAAAGAGCCGCGCCGAAGGTTCCCGAGATGCCATGGCCACCACACGTAGCTTGACCGATTTTTTTTTTTTTTTCAAACCAGGACTCTTATTATCAGCTTTTCCGTCGTCCATTTATGGAACGATCACTTGCTTACATACCCGAGTTCGTTTCCGAGAAATGGTACGGCTTGCCGAGCTTCTTGGCCGCCCGGACTTCGCCCTCAAACCGGCCCACAAAGCTGACGATTTGCGTATGGTTCATTAATCCAGCCAACGATGTTTTCGAGTTACCACAAGCTGACTGAGGATACGCATGTCCCCCTAAAAAAACTCATTTCAATAAACAGACAAAATAATTAAAACTTCTTTCTTACGAATATTGTTTTTTGAGGACGAGATATATAACATACCGAAGCTTTTGACGTATTGGAGATCGGGGCCTTCTTGGGGAGCTAATTCGGAAACCGACCAACGCGGAGGCGAGAGGAAGACGCCCGCCTGGACGAGTGCCTTCTTGGCCACCCTCGTCGAGATCTCCCGTTGCCACGCTTTCTGGGACCGCGCATCCGCGTCGGGCGTCCAATTCTTGAGCCCTTTCCTTTCCGGAGAACCTGGCGCCCAGACTTCTCCAATCAAGTCAAATCGATTATTTGTTTGTTTGTAATTAGTTGGTTGATTTATTAGAGTATATTTTTTTGGTAGAAGGAGATATGAAAACGAGAGGAAGAGGAAGGAAGAGGAAGAGTACATTCGGGTTCATTTCCGAGTTCGATAGCGTAAAGGTTCGAGAGATGATCGACGAGATCGCGCGCGGCGATCCCGGCGTTGAGGAGATTACCGGACTGGCGATTGAGGCCGAAGGTGAGTGGGCCGGGGGAGAGCTGGTTAGCCAGCCGGATGAACTCGGGGCCGAAGGAGAGCCGGGCAGGCACCTGGGCAGCTCCTCCTCCCGAGGGAAGCTGGTACCGGACCGGCTGGGACTCTTCCCGATCATACCTCGCTCGGTCTCTGTCCATCGTCATCAAACGTCCCGAAATAAACAATAATATCCATGAATGTTGGTGTATGATGATGAATTTGGTGGTGGAAATGGGCCCGCGGCTCTTCGCTCACTGGGTCGTGCCTCCTATCCTGATCGGACTTGGCATGCCATACGCTTGTTCTAGATTCTTAAGACATTGGGCGGTCTGCGATAGACGAGTAGCATAGGCCGGAAAGGCAAAGAACTCGAACCTTTAAAAATGCACAAAAAAACAGAAGAACAAGAACCCATCATCAGCTTCTGATCCGGTCATTTCCGCGGGATAGGTGTCTGTTCAAAAGAAGAAGATTAGAAGAGAATAACTTGCGAGATCCCGAGTGGATTGGTGTCTCCTATCGGCACTGGAACATGCGAAGCGTTGAGGTGTTCGACCACGTCGACGACGATCAGCTTCGGCGGCTCGGCAACGCCCAAGTCATCATCATCATCGTATTCAGCGCCCCCGACTCGATCCATAAATGGCACCACTAATAGCCCAACGAAGCTCAGCAGCAAACACCATCCGGCGCTTCGGACCATGATGTATGTTTCTGATCCGGTTTTGATAGAGAGATCGATATATGGAACAGCTTCCCGGTCGAAGCACTAAAAATCGAGTGTTTATTTACAACAACTCTGATGATGATGATGATGATGATGCGCAGAAGTGGGCAGGAGGAGCTGGTTATCACTGGGACAGCGGTATCCGCAACTTCATGTCAAGCCTCGACGGTGTGGCTGTTTCTCCTCTTCTCTAGACTATGTAACTACGGTTGTATGATCGATAGAACGTGTGGCTATGTTATCAACCTTTTATCCGCACGTTCATCCGTAGATAGAAAGCTTAACAATAATCCGCGCGACGAGTATGGCAACACCATCAAATTCCCTCAATTGTGCGAACTACGACATGTGCATAGCTCGGGGTGTTCTCTGGGCTTGGTTAACACAGACTTGAAGCAAGCAAGCATCCCGTCCAACCAGCCCATCGGATTCGTTATTGGGCAAAATAAATAAATATGTTTGTAGGAAGCGAAGAGATGGATCAAGAGAACAGGAGATGTTGAGAGAACACTGGTGCTGTGATGTGTATCATTATCGTAAACGCGCCGGGCCGGGGGTGCAACTGCAGCTTCCGATCTCCGCTCCAACAAAACAAGCATAAACTCATGTGCATGAACGTCACGGTCGGGGGCATTGTATTTGTGGATGTATGCGCTGATAATGGTGAAATTTTGGCCAGCCGGCAGATGCTGTCCTGCTATAATCGGTGTTGGCTGAGTTTCATCGATTTTTAATAAAGTTTGTGGAGTGGCTTGATTATGTCATCAGGCCCCCACCAAGAATATAAAAACACTCATCAACACAGCAACACAGCAACTTCACATCAACCAAGAACCAACCAAAAACAAACCAAAACCAAAACCAACGATGTCGACAAACCAAGAGAACAACAACAACAACAAGGGAAAAGGAAAACAAACCAACAACAACCAACAACAAGCAACAACAGAATCAATCAAACAGAACAAGAACATCAACAAAAGACCAACAACAACACTCACCACTGACACCTTCATCAACCCAGAACCAACAACCAACTCATCATCATCAGAACCAAACATCATCACACCCACTTCAACCACAAACCAACAACAACAACAACCAATCACAGCCCACCTTCGTAAAACATCACCAAATCACTCAGATGCCCTGAGAAGATGCGAGGTCCACCCATCGACAGAGGGGAAGCACTGGTCAGAAGGAGGATGAAAGAACGACAACGACTCAAGAAGGAGGCCGAACGCCGTCTACGTCGAGCAGCAGACGAAGAAACTCGTCCAACAAACAACTCATCTACTATCATCCCAGCCAGACCTACCACCTCAAGAACCAAGACCGCACCATCCAACTCACACCACCACCACCACCACCAACAACAACAACATCACACCACTCAAATACCCAACCCAGGAGCACACCGGGATCCAAGACTGGCCTCACCCAGCTTAGAATCATTCTGGGCACCATCTGCATCATCAGCTAATCAACAGACTGAGACTAATCGAGGAGAGCAACAGGCTAAGACTCAACAATCCCCTGAGACTCGATCGATCATCCGCCTCGATATCGATCATAAACCTAGCAGCCCAGCTCATCGTGGCGTCTCACCAGTCAGAATCCAATCCACCTACCAATCATTCGGATCACCAAGCCAATTCTCAGCCCCAATCATCAAATCCTCTACCAGCGAACAACCTACTCCAACCAGATTCAACCAACAAACTCAACAGCAGCCATCAGATTCCGCCAAATCATCCTTCTCGCTTCACGGGAAGAACTTTCAATCCAACCCACCCACGGTCGAGCTATCTGGTAGCGACTTCACTCCCCGTCGTCCTCGCGACGAGTATGATGAGGATGCAGAGGAGACTGAGGACGGAACGGAGGAAGAAGAACGGCTCTATGACCTCTCCACCCCCACCGTCCGCGGGCGCGCCGGGATCCCAAAGTCGCTCTCTGTCAGAAGCACCAGTACCGCTGCTCATTCTCTCCATCGCCAGTCCTCCCGCTTCTCCGTCGCTCACTCCAAGTCTGCCGACCAACACCGCGCCGAATCATTGAGCTTGTTGAGCAACGACGATCTCCCCTCCCAACATAGCTCAGTACATACTAACAAACAGATCCAGGAAGCTTCTCATGCTGAAGATGATGATAACAGCGAACACCAGGGTAGTAGCTCCTCATCCTCTCCACTGGATGACGATGTCGAATATACTCTAAAGGATAGACAGGATGTAAGCCTTTTCTTTCCCCCATACCCCACCCCCTTTCAAAACGCAACCCCTGCTCATTTTACATGACATCGTTTTCACGTTAGGCCATCAACATCGAGCATCCATTTGGTCTACCGATCTGGAAGCCAGCCTTGTACAAGAAATCTCGATCGGTAGCGAGAAACGCCGAGGCGGCGTTGCACAATTCGCCTACCTCGACGACTGGCTCAACACTAACGTTCGGCAACCTACTTTGGTCGTTGATCTTTGGGATCTGGCTAGCGGTCGTCGTCGCCCTAGTGGCGGCGATCCTTTTTGTGATTCCGTGGGGTGGGAGCAAGTATGGACGCGTGGTTTGGGAGCTAGCGGGTTACTTGGTGTGGCCGTTTGGGAAGTATGTCGAGGAGTGGTCGGAGGAAGAGGAGGAGGAGGGCAGTGAGACGCAGAACGAGGAGCGAGCCGACGCGACCGATTCCAGTCGGTTTGCCGCGGGCTTGGATCCTGGTGCGCCTCACGCGTCTCGATGGGTGACCGTCTCGGAAATCGACGAAGACGAGGTGGCGTCGATCGACCGGCTGACGATCCGTGGAGGCCTCGACCCGGAGGACGAGCGAACCGGGCTGACATCCGAAAGACGCTCCCCAAATTACGGTACCACCAGTCCCTCCCGACCCTCGATCGCCAAACCCAAAGACCGACTCTCATCTGATTCGACCATCAAGACAGACCTGAACACGATCCTCGGAATATTCAAGAGAACGGATGGCACGGATGGTCGGGCCAAGCGCCAGATTCGGGTCCGGGCCCTCGGTCGACTCTCCTTCTGGGTGGCCTACTACCTGATCATTGCCCCGCTCATGTTGACGGCCTGTCTGCTCTGCTGGTTCTTTGTGGTCACGATTCCTATGGCTAAGCTGCTCTGGGTGCTCGTCCAACACATCGGCACCGAGCCTCTGGCACTCCACTTCAGATCCTCCCCGACTTACATCGACCTCCACCAGGTCGAGATCGGCCTAGCCTCTGGCCACAACCAAGAACAAGGACAGCAACAAGGCGACGGCCAGACGGATGGCGAGCCCCGTCTTGATGAGAACCCTCAGCGTCGTCGGGTCAGTAGTCGACTCCCGCCTCAACTCAAGCCTGGCCAACCGGCGCCTAAACACTCAAAGAAGTCCTTGTCCGAGAGTCGGGCGAAAGGGCGATTAGTGAGCGGGAAAGCCAAGGTGCTTCTGTGCACATACAAAGCCTTAGGATTGCAGTACTATAAATACACCGTCGATGGTGTCAACATCATGTTCATCATCCTGATCCCCTTCGTGATCTTTGTCATCCTGGACTTCTTCTTCCTAGCCCCGTTGAAACTGACCGGCTTCCTAGGAGTTCTATCCTCGCAGATCGTGCTCTTTGTGATGGCCTTGTTGAGTGTGATTCCGTTATCGTACTTTATCGGGATGGCGGTGGCCTCGATCTCGGCGCAATCGTCGATCGGGATGGGCGCGGTGATCAATGCGACGTTCGGCTCGGTGATCGAGATCATCCTCTATTCCATCGCGCTCACCGAGGGTAAGGGCGAGCTGGTCGAGGGATCTATCATCGGATCCGTCCTCGCTGGCGTCCTCCTTCTCCCAGGTCTCTCAATGATCGGCGGATCATTCAAGAGGAAGGAACAGCGCTTTAACGCTAGGTCTGCGGGCGTCACTTCGACTATGCTTATCATGGCTATCATCGGAACTCTTACTCCTACACTGTTTTACGAAATCTATGGGACCGTACGTCTTTTTTTTCATGTCTACTCATCGTCACAAAACAAAACAAAAATTAACTCTCTCTCTCTCCACCCCTTTTCTTTAGTTTCAACTCACTTGTTCTGGCTGTCCAGATGATCTTGATCATCCTGGTTTGATCTCTCAGGATAAAGTCTGGAAATGTAAATCGTGTAGGTATGAACATCTTAGTCCAGTTAATGATAGCTTCTATCAATCTTCTGTCAAAGGATTGTCCTACTATTGTGCTGGTTTACTCGTCCTGGTTCGTCCGCCTCTTTTTACTACCCCCCAAAAAAGTATGTTTCGACGATGAGCTGATTTTGTTTTTCTGTCTTTTAGTCTTATTTGATTGGTTTATGGTTTTCTTTACGGACTCATGCCTCGCAAATTTGGCAGACCCCGGCCGCGGTTCTTCCACATGGACCAGGAGTTGGAGGAACAGCAGCAGGAGCAGGAGGTGAGGTGCCTCAATCGATGGCAGAACATCATCATCAGCAGCAGCATCCGGGGTCGACTCAAGAAGGACATGAATACCAGCACCTGACGAGCCAACAACGGATGTCGATGTATGTGCGAAAGTTACCGGAGATCGTGAAACAACAACTGTTGCCGCATCTCCAACGCTCCATCTCGACCACCCGGCATCCCGAGCACCACCAGCCGATCTCTTCCTCCGTCCAATCGCCCGCCAAAGCGCCCCCAAACGAGGAGGACCCTTCCAATCGGTTGCCGCGGACTTTGACCACTGAAGAAGTCAACCAAACTCTCCATGTCCTCCAGCTCGCCTCTCACGGCTTTCCCTCCCGTCCGCCGCCCAAATCCCGACCCTCTAGTCAGTTTATCCACAGTCGAGAGCCGTCACACTCGCACCATCGAGACCCAGCGCCTCCCTCATCCGGCCTCCCACCGGGCTCCTCCTCTCACCCCTTACCACTCTCTTCTGTTGCTGCTCCGCACGTCCACCATCCTATTCTGATCGAAGAACACCATTCGGCAACCGGAAACAATGGCGGCGGTGGCCATGATGCTCCTAATTGGAGTCGCACTAAATCGACTACCGTGCTTCTGCTTTGTACCGCGCTTTATGCGATTATCGCTGAGATCCTTGTCGACGTCGTAGACGTCGTCCTCGACGGTAAATCTAAACTCCCCGAAAAGTTCCTCGGTATCTCCCTCTTCGCCCTCGTTCCTAATACTACCGAGTTCATGAACGCGATCTCGTTCGCTATTAATGGCAATATCGCGCTGAGGTTCGTTTCTCTCCTTTCTTCATTTTTTTTGGACTGGAAGATTGATCGATTGTTTTTTGTTTGTTTGTGATAGTATGGAGATCGGGTCGGCGTATGCTCTGCAAGTCTGTCTCATCCAAATCCCCGCCATGATCACCTTCTCGTCGTTCTACAACTCCAACAAATTCGTCTCGGCCTCTCACACTTTCACGTACGTGTCCTCCTCCTCCCCTATACTTACAATACAGAATGAGAGAAAATTGATGGGTTTCCTGGGCGATTTGCAGCTTGGTGTTTCCGAGATGGGACGTGATCGCAATCATCTTCTCGATCTTTTTGTTGACGTATACGTACATCGAGGCCCGTTCTAATTATCATCGTGGGACGATCTTGGTGCTCAGGTCGGTCCTCTCTCTCTTCTCTCTTTCTTTCCTCTAACTTCTTTGAGTTTAACGGGGGGTTTTTTTTTTATTGACACACTCTTTTTTTTTGATATACAGTTATTTGGTCTTGATTGGTGGATTCTATTCGGCGCCTGTGGATAGCGTACGTTCCTCTCTGTATGATATACCATACCAAAGCTTGCAAAAAAAATCGAGCTCGTTAATCTCCGGATCCGGGCGGTCTTTGTTGAATACAGTTGGATGCACTAAGTACCGATATCAATCATAAGGATCAGTTCAAATCAGTCGTCTTCAATCATCCGCTCTCCAATCTCACCGCGTCCTCGATTCGTCATCTCCAACTCCCCCCGCTCGCTCAGTCGTCTCTTGGCAACTCGGTGCTCTCGTTTTTCGGAGTCAACCCTTAGACCTTCTCTTTCCTCCTCTCTCCCTCTCTCTCCACCTCTCTTTCATTTCTTCATTCATCCATCCATCCATCTTTATTTATTTATTTATCACATTCGAATCACACTCCCTTAATGGTTTTTCTTAATCAATCAATCAATCCATCTCTCTTTGCATCCTGATTATTTATTTGTTATAATAAGCTGTTGTAGTTATTCATAGTCAGGTCATCTTCAAGCCTAAGTACCAGTAGTAATAGTGGAGATCACATCGGTCGTCGTCATGGTATAGGTGGTCAGATGTGTGTGTGTATATGTGTGGAAGGGGGGGCGATTCCAACTTCAGGAATTAGAGCAGTCAATCTGCCTTGGCTAGAGTGTAAGTGAAAGATACTCTCCCTCAACATTGTTGGCCCTCAAAAAGGTGGGTATAATAGGCATCACTGCTATGGCCAAAACCAGTTACAAACACTGGTGCTGATCATGGTGGGGTTCTGGACCATGATTATGGGACACAACAGCTATGTACACATGTAAATATGTCCCCAATCCAAAAAAAAATGGATCCTGCTTGTGATTATGTGGTGGTCTCAATTTTGGACAGTGTGTGGACAGATACGTCTTCGAGCCTAACTAGGCCTCCACGGCGGGAGCGGGAGCGAGCAGCGGAGCTGTCCACGCCAGTGGAGGCCTAAGACAAATGTGACGAGGCCCGCGTGCTGAGTTTTCAAGATTGGGCTGAAAACCGCGATTTTCATCTTTATCCTTATGTAGCCGTTGTCTCATCGACATGTACCGAATTTCCTTCCCATGCCATGAAGGCCTGCTTTGTACTCTTTTTTTTGTGTTTTCAGTTTTTTTTTTATCTTGTTTTGCTATCCTTGTAAGGGTACTTAAAAACAACCACTTTTCAACTCGACTTACCAATGCTAAGTTAGATTGTCCTGCTTTTTGTATTTTTTTTTTCAACAACTTGATTTTAATTAGTAAGCCAATTGAAATCATACCTGGCATAACCCTGTATAACATCACGGCTTGATTGATGAAAAGACAAATGAGATCGTTGGTCAGAGCCAGATAACTCAAGTCGGATACTAGAGAAGGCAACTCTTGACCATCCTCAATCTGATTCATCATTGATAAAAAACAGAAAAATGGATCCAGCACCTTCCGTTTGCGACAAGAGAAATCAAAGCGAGACAGCATCTACCAGTACTACCGCATTTCTGCATAAATAAAAATTAAAATACAACAAATAAAAATAAAAATACAATAAATAAATAAATTAAAATACCTGATGAAATCAGGAACAATGTTGTGGAGTGAAATGGAGTAATAAGAGAAAGGAAATGAGGATCAGTGTTGATGGTCAACAGGATTGGAGTCGGTGTTTGACAGAGGTCTTGTCCGAGAGAACAAGCACCTGTCTATGCTTCGTCTTGACTGAGGCTTTTTTCGAACGAGCCGACGACAAACAAGCCGAGTCCTTTTGAACGGTCCGTTTTGAACGAGACGAGTCCTTTTGAACGGTCTGTTTCAAACAAGCCAAGTCCTTCTGAACGGTTGTTTTGAACGGTTCCGTTCTGAATGTTCCGTTTTGAATGTGGATGCTGATTCAGTCTTGACGGAGGGATTTGGAATGATCAGCATGTTTGAAGTATCTTGACCCAGACCTTACAAACAAAGAACGAACCTGTTTTATTTTTCTTGACGGAGAATGAATGATCCGATCGGTTTCCTCTGGTTTGTATCGACCGAGTGTTTGGTTTGGTGTTGAGAGGATGAACGTTTGTGATAAAACGATGACTTGGCTGTATTTCTGAGGTTATGTCAGGTGATGTGGCTTCTTTTTTTTGTTTGTCAATTTTGTAGATTATATTCTTAAGGTTTTTGACATACAAAAGTTTGTCGGATGAGTTTGTCTACCCCCAAGAGGATTTGCAGACTGATATTTTAGAAAATTATTATTAATTACAGTTTCGAGGAGCAACTTCTAAGTTTTGGCCTGATCAATAAGATCAGGCAGGTCTTTCATATTTCCAGACCAAACATCAAGAAAGTTTTGAGGGAGCGTCAGGATTTCAAAAGATTTGACGCTCCCACCAGAACAATCCAAACTCAGCACCTGAGTTTGGTGACCTCTGGCCCAAGTCTCCCCTGCGGGGAGTTCCCTTCGGGAACCGCCTGGCCAGCGCTACGCTGCCAGATGCGCCTGTCGCAGCTGGAGACTTGTGATAAGTTCGATACGTCTTTCTCTGTAGACTGTGTGTGTGGGAGAAAGCTTTGTAGGCCTCGTGGTGTCTTGTCCAGTGGCCTTCTTCCTCATCATACATACCTGTCTCTCATCTATAGTACTTTTTTTTTGGGGGGGGAAGGTGATTTGCATGTATTCTTGTTGGATCTCCACACTCTTCTTTTTTTGTAATGTAGGTGTGGGATTTCTGTAGTACACATATAGCTCACTTGCAGATTCCATACCACACTTATATGCAAGACACTGTCACAGGTTGGTTGGTACTTTTTTTTGTTGGTGGGTGGTGGTGGTGGAGAGAACAACGAGTGGGGTTTCCTTGGGCTGCTGCTCAAAGTGCAGCTTTCTTTTTTGGGGTGGGGTCTGGATCATAGGAAGGAGTGCCAGATGGATTTATTGTGTTTCTCAAATACCTTGGACCAATCTGATTTTTTTGATTTTATGTTATCAATTTTTTATGCGTATGGGGTATCCCAAATATGAGTGCGGATTCAGAATATCCACCCATATATTATTCGGTGGTAATCCAAGGTCATCGGAGGCATAGTCAGTACAGGCACACTGTACTCCGGCTCCGTCGGACAACAGATACAGATGGGAAACCGATTGGTCTGTCCCGACTCCCCCCCCCCCTACCATTTTTTCTTGCCATCGTGTCAACCTCCCATCTATCCATCTGCAGTACCCAATTTACCAACCAACCCCAGTTTATTTCTTACCCTTATTTCCTTTGTCCATTTTTCAACTGACCATAATGCCCACTTACTATGTCAACCCTTTCGGCCTCGAGACCCCCACGACAACAAACGCTTACCCCAGCCTTCCCTCAACAATCTTGCCTGATTCCCCTGAGTTGGACCTGCCTCACATGGATACGCGCAGCAACACCCCGGACGGTGACACCCAATTGAGGGTTGATGACATCCCAGGTTACAAAGTTAGCCCTTCAATGTCCATCTTTATTGTCTTGCTTATGACTGACAGGGACTTGCTCTCGGCTGGCAGGGAAAACTCATGAAGGTTTTGGTAGCATTTAAGCTATATGTTGTCTCAAAGAATAAGAAAAAGGAGAAGACCTGGGTCCCATGCGCCTCGACTTCTGAATTCCCGGTCGATGTAACGTTGGGTGTGACCGATTTCGATCAGTTCAGAGAGCTTGTGGCAGCTGCTTGCAACGTTCACTTCAAGAGCACGGGTGGGATCATTCGCGAATCAATCGAGGATCCAGTTCGCATGCCCTTGGCGTGGTTGGTAAGCATCCCTCGGGTCGATGAATGGAAGAAGAGCGACAAGGTCAAGATGTCGGACCCTTCCGACTATCAAGACTGGCTTGTTGCTGCCTTCCGTGCGGGGAAGAAGAGTGTTGGCTTGGACATCAAGATGCCCGACCCCGCCGAGGCGAAACGACGGGCCAAGAAGGAGGACCTCCTTGCGAAGCGAGAGGCTCGAGCGGCGGCGGTGAAGGCGTCGGCTTCCAAGAAACGCAAGTCTAAGAATGGTCGTGGAGGGAGCGGTGGTGGTGGGGATGGTGGAGGCGGCGGTGGGGGCGGACCCGATGGAGGTGGAGCGTCTTCGGAAGTCAGCTCAGATACCGACAACTCAGGCTCTGAGATTGATGCGGACGATTTCGACGACATCAACTTCCACATGCGATCAATCTACCGGGCCCATCCAACCAATGTCGCTTATGATCGGCTCATCCCGGTTTACATCGACCCAACCAACCCGCGACGGTACATCTTGTTATCGACCGCCGCAGTGCAGACTTGGGCGAAAGACCTGGTATGTCCAGTCGCCAATATCCTCGTTGATCACTGATCTTAGACTGACATTTCCTGAGTGATCGTTCATTCCTAGATGGAAAGGACAGCAGGGGTGAGTCTGCAATCCCCCCCCGGTCCCTCAAGTACATCAATATGACCCCATCCAAGCGGGCCAAGTTCGAGCAAACCATTGGAAACGATAACGTCAACCTATTGGGCCAGATTCTTGTGGCCCTCCAAAATAATGCGGGTACGCCGATTGAACGTCACGCGATGCCTACTTCCTCACCCCCCAACGAGAGTAACATCGAAGCTTACCTGGATTTCATATCTGTCCGCAACAAGGACGAAGTCCTTGAGGTCCTAACCGCCAATGACCTGACGTCCCACAAGATCTTCAAGGGAGGATTACCTCGTAAGGATGTCTTGGACCTTGGTTTGACACTCGGCACCGTCACCAAGTTGTTTGAGAATGCTTCCAAGTTCGATCGGCACTTAAGCTCTTAGATTCATGTCTATCTAGTTCCCTATCTAGTTCCCATATTTCCGTTGTTCCCTTATCTCCGTTCCTTCTTCATGTACCGGAATGGTTTTATTGTCGGCTGTGTGATTTGTCCTGCAACTCATCTGACTCATGAAACATGATTGGGTTTTCTATGCGCACTTGATTGCCACTAAGCTTAATTGGACTCAGTTCCCTCACGTGACGGGTGACCAGCCCCTGTCTTTTCAAAGCCATGGGGGCCCCTTGAGACTGGTGTCCAGATGGAGTGGGACCCTCAGTCGCTCCTCCGGCACTTGCATCGGCCGAGTTCATAGCCGACCACTTTGTAGTGGCTAACCTGACGAGATCTCCATGTCTGATCATAAAGTGATCTGTCCTCAACCTTACACACCGCCATCCTACATGGATTTACCCCTCAAAAGACAAGATCTACAAGAGAAGGCCATCATAGATATCGAGTACATCTTGTACCGATTTGGGAGTGGTGACCCCGACGCAAGGCGACGAGAACAGCCCGAAGGATGTTCAATCACAATCAACCTCGGTAAAACCACCTTTGAAGACTTCAAATCGCTCGTTATCGGTCGTATAGGCCAGGAGCATTGCCACTTCCCCAAACGGATCCATGCCGACCTGGCATCCGCCCAACCAAAACTTCACTGGTCCCTCAAGATTCAAAACAACGAGGCCAGCCTATTTCGCAAGTACACTTCGATGCCGACCGCTGATGCGTCGTTATTCAAGCAGTGGCTTTGGGGCCTCAAGATCACCTCCCAAGGCAAGGGGACGGTCATGGTCGGCCAGGACCGTCCGTCACAGGACCCGGAGCTCGTGCATACACTAGTGAGTCACTTGACAAAGATACCTCAGCCCAAACCAAGCTGAGACTTTGATTGTGATGGCTTGACAGGGTGCCGCTACGGATCTCATCGACAGCCCCCTCAGACCGAATATGGAGAACCGACATCCCATGGAAGAACCTCAGCGGACTGACTCCTGGCCCGACCCACCCGCGCCTCTTCATAATTATTTTGCCTACTGTCACATCTCTTCGGCGGTGATTGATGCCTGCTTAGCCCAGGTCCTCATTGAACAGCACATCGACCGATATGAACTGTTCCAGTCACCTATTGTCATCAGCCAGCTGCAAAATCCCAGATATGCCATTCCATCCGGGCTCATTGCCATTCTCAGTTTAAATGTACCGGCATACAGAAAATACTTGCACGATGAGAAATAAAAGATAGAAATATAGAAATGACAGATCAATTATTGAAAAGGAGGCATGTGATAACCACAGTGTCGGTAGATATTATAGCAGAATTGAGAAGTGATCAGTTCCGTAAAAAGCGAGCGAATTTCCCAGTTCGCGTCGTATGTGTACGAAAGCAATTTACTTCTCCGGAGGCGGTTCTTCAACTGAGCAAAGCAAAGCTCAATTGGGTTTAACTCAGGGCAGTATGGTGGCAGATAGATCACCCGTACTGATGCCTCGTCACACAGGCGGCGAACCCGGCTGTGTTTATGAATCCTCGCGTTATCACACACTAGGACCGAATTAGGCCCTGGATACGGATTCATCCGTGGCAACTGATAAAACAACATCAGTTGTGGCCTTAGGTGAATGGGAATCACAGAACAGGGGAATTACACATACTAAATCCCACTTTAAAAAGTGTTCAAACTTTTTCGAGTTGAAGGTGTCCTCTCGCACTGTGAGGGCCAGCACGCCGTTCATACCAATTGCTGGGAGGATGCTGAGTCGATCGGGGTTTTGTCTGACAATGTACCTAGAAGATGGACTCCCCCTCGCTGATCTTGCAAAAGTCCGAAGCAGCTCGCGATCGCAGATCGCACTCTCATCTGAAATACAATAACTGGTCAGTTCAACAGTCAACCAGGCCAATCAGTGATGAGGAAGATTAACTCACCGGTGAATACCAAGAACTCTGCGGGGAAGTATTGCATCATCTCGATGTATGCAAACTTCTTCACCAGGCACTTTTTGATGTTGAGGGTCTCGGCCTTCTTCAGTGTAATAGCCAGCTTGTTCACAAGGTTGCTGTGAACCGCCTGAATGCTCAGAAGCACCCCGGTACCATCGTACAATTTTTCGCGAATCTCGTCCAAGAAAAGTCCTGGCTCGTCCTTCAACATCGTAATCATAAACTCGCAATCTTCGGATGACAGGCACTTGATCCGACCTTGCTGTTCGTACGAATCTGGGTCACGGATGACACATCGGGTATCTTCAAAGAGCTCCCTCCAACGATTGAGGGATTGACGGGAAACAGTATAGCCCAGTGTAGTTCGGATGTTGGGCAGTGAGTGGCCCTGCAGTGACATTCGGACCACAACCACCTTGATCGCTGCTGGATAGTAAACGTAAGGCATCCTCGGCGAATTTGAATTCTGTGTCGTTTCGGGCCGACAGATGAGACGGTAAATCTCCAGGAACAGGGATAGTAGGGACGAGAGTCTGATCCTCTTCCGAGATTCCACTTGATTGCGTGAGCCAGATGTATCAAGAAGATACAGCCAACGCATTTATCTCATGGCATAAATACATGTGGTACGTGAGGTGATCGGTATTCTTCCAAATTTCTCATACATGTGCAAAAAAAAGCCCAAATTTTGGGCATAAATACATAGTTGGGGAACAAAAAAAATGAAATCGGTCCAAGGTATTTGAGAAACACAATATGTTAATTTTTTTTATACTGAGCAGCGCATTAGCACATTTTGGGGCCCTGTGCTTGGTGCAGACACAGCAGAATTGGGCTGTTCTACACTCACTATTAGCACAATTTCTACTACCTTACACCGCACTAATGCTGGCCCATTGCTGTTTGAGGTTTCAGAAGACTGGAATGTTGAAGCTCTTCAGCTTATGGTTTCAAGCAGAATGCTGTTTGAAAAAAACAACTCTTTGAATCCCCCTGGTCTTGATTTATATGCATGGTGAGGAACCAAAACTGTATTTGTAAATACAATGTATTTGTATTGTATAGGCTAGAAAATGAATACAATGTATTTGTATTGTATTTGCTAGCAGAGGCAATACATGTACTTCTGACAAAGTGCAATACACTGTATATGCCTATACAATACGTGTATAGGACTCGTTGCACCCTTGAATATATCATTCTTGGTGTTGGTTATTCATATTTCACCCATTCTTTGGGTACACAGATCTGTACATGTCTGGGGATTGCTTTTGTTTTTTATTTCTAAGGTATAAGCTGGCACAGATCTTTCCTTGCCCATCAACCTTTGTTCACTCTGTCTCTGAGGCTAATGAATTTCATGGCTTGTTCTGGGATTTTTTTTAAAAAAAATTTGAGGCTCAAAGTTAAGTAGTAAATTTCTTAACAAACTAAATCAAACAATATCCTCTCATTCTGAACACATCACTTGGGTTGCAATGGCATTTCCTATTTGTGTTCAGTCATCAGGAAATCTTGTGTCTGGTTCCTATTTATAATGGATCTAGGAAACATTTTCTTATTTCTTGGGAGCTTACATATGTACAAGAGAAATGGAATTGAAGCTGAAAAGCAAAGAAGATCAGAAAGAACTGCAATACAAAATCAATCATTTTTCTTTTGAAATCCAAGCGTTCAATAGCAAGAGAAATGTTGGTGGTTTAACAATTTACCACATATTTGGAAAGCATATTCCTATGAGTTACATGACAGTAGGCATACAAAGATTTTCCATCTATTTGTCCTTAGGGCAACCACCTTTAAAGCTTTCAGGGGTTATAAAAATCCCTTTTGCAGGTGGCATTGCCTTTCTCTATATTTTGGATAACAAAACATTGTAAACAAAATGAGCTGTCAAGTATGATGGTCCATACCCTGAAAAACCTTTCACTCACCAAAACTTTAAATTTTGATTGATTACAGCAAGATACAGTCTTTGCATCCGTGCCTTCGCATGGTTTAGGTGCTCCGTTTGCATCAGGTTCTATATAAACTGGATGAGTGCATCCCAAAAAGAAAGACAAAAAATTGAGCCAAGTTTGATGGGTTTTGCTTTCGGTGTATCGATTCCACATACTTTGGACAATTGATTCAGATCCGGAACCTCCAGGTTTTGGTACGTCTGCTTTGATGAAGCAATAATGAGCCAATCCAGCGCTACAACTCTGGTCATTCACTTGGGGTAGACCTCCGCTTGTGGCTCGAGCTTCGAGTCTGTGTTTGCCGTCTGCGCTCAAGGAAAAAACTCCTCGGGTCACCGCCAAGAATACAAACGGTTGCCAAAATTTCATGGTGGTAAGGGATCAAGAAGATTTGGTCAAGATGATGGTTCTGGAAGTCTTCAGGAGTTACGCGAATCTAATTTCAGACAAGAAAATCTATTTTGGTTGTTGATTGCACAAAGATTGCGAATGAGAGGGGAAGGAAAGATCGAAATGATTTGCATGTGATGAGTCTTTATAGAGCTCAGGATACAGTGGGACATGTGGTGTGGTTCGAGGTTATCGGACTGTCCTCACTCAATGATGAAGGCTGTAGTCCGTAGCGGTGCACTGGCGGCCAACGACCGGCGCCGATCACTTCTCATAGGTAGAAACCGACTGGCAAGAGTTCTGTGCAGTGTGAAGCAGAGCAGTGTATACTGCGGCCGACGAGATACATCATGGCCCCTGGATTAGACTCGTTGCGAGTGTTCCGACGAGCTCGGTAGCCAGATGCCGTCCAACAACCGGCTCTGATCAACTCTCCCAAGTAGGAACCGACTGGGAAAGGTCATGTGTGGGGCAGAACAGTGTGCAGTGCGGCCAATGAGATACATCATAGCCGCTGGTGACTTGCCCCCTGGATGCGAATCCTTAAAAGTGTTCCGGCGAGCTCAGCAAAAAGATGTCGCCGTCCATTACCAACCGGCGCTGATCTACTCTCAAAGGTGGAAACCGACTGGCAAGGGTTCTGTGTGGGATAGAGCAGTGTCCATATTCTTGGGCTGAGATATATTCCCTGTTCGACTTGCCCCTTCAAAATTTGATTCCTGATTTGCCAAAATCTAACTATTTTTTGATATATTTTGACCCTTGCCTTCATGGGCAGGCTTATTTTTTTTTTAAAAAAAAAAACTTGAATTCCTTCCAGTACTTGACCTGAATCCCAGATGTTGGAGTAAATTTCCAAGTGTGTTCCCCCAAAGAGATTGTTGCATGTTTCTTTCTCTTTGTTTTGTAAATAGCATGTTAAAAAAAACTGGATCTAGGTAAATATACACACAATCTGGCAAATGCATAAGGAATCAAAGAAGCATGTAATGGAGGACTTCCCGTCGGATCTGGGAGCCTCGCAGTTTCCGATTTAGACCCAAAAAGTCTAGATTTTTGCAGGGAAATCTAGCTTTTTCGGCTCTAAATCGAAACTGGGAGCCCCGCAGATGTTGACGGGAAGTCATCCAATATTGAAGAAAAATGGCCATGGTGATGAAACCTTATTTTGTGTTCAGAGGAGGACAGTGTAAACCCTCTGTCAGGGTTTCACAAAGATTTCATTGACATGTCACACTGAGAGGGTTTTTCTTTATCATTTTTTCCTTTCCTGGCTCAGCAGAGAACTGACCCCGACTTCTCTCTGAGCCAGATGAGTTTCCTGCTAGTCTCTTTTTCCTCCTCTTGTATTTCTCTCCCATTCAGATTGTCAGGAGAGAACTGACCCCAACTTCTCTCTGAGCCAGAAATAAAATCCTCCCCTGTTTGGTCTTAGAATTTGCTTAGGCTTTCAGACATTCCGGTGTCATTCCCACTCATCCAGTGAAGGACTATCACAGTCCTTACAGAAAGGAAAGCCAAATTTTGAATCTAGTTTGAGAAAATGTACAATAAAGCAATGATATGTTGAAGGTTCTTCAATATAAAATTCTGACAGTTGGAAAGGATTTTGTTACTCTCTAGAGTAGTAGGATAGAATTGAAGTAGAAAAGAAAAAAAAAGTGAGCTGAAATGAATGTTTCGATCTGTTTGCAAATTCCATGTTCAATTTGGGATTCAAGCAAAGGACCAAGATCCAACTTGTGCATAATAAACAACATCCTTGCAAAGCAGAGGTATGTGGATTCATTGCGTGGGGTCTTAATTGTTTGATTCGACTTTATCTTTGGGACAACCATCTTGAAAGCTCTTCGGGGTTATAAAGATACTTTTGATAGGCTTATCAACTTCTTTTTTGGAACATAAGGTTCAAAACAATCAGTCCTGAAACTCTACATGTCATATTCAAAATAAAGCACTGTGACTCACCAAGACATCAAACTTGGATTGATCACAACAAGATACTGCCCAAGCCCATCCATCTGTGCATGTCCTGTAAGGGTTTCCTTCTGAGTCAATTGGTGAAGCAACTTATGTATTGTACCAAAAAAGATCAAATCAATTAGAATCACACCTTGTTTTTCATGATGATCTGGAATTCACTTACTTTGGGCTACTGGGGTTAGGTGAGAAACTCCAGGAACAGAAGCCTCCCCTTGAATGAAACAATAATGATACAGACCAGTCCCACAACTATCATCAGTTACTTGGGGTAGACCCCCACCTAAGGCGCCACATCGTTCATGTCGGGGTCATCCTTTTCCCATTGAGCAGAAAACACCGGTGGCCACATAGAAAAATATAACCAATCAAAAGAATACCATTATAGTTCAAGAAAGGAAGGAGTATAAAAGTTGAAGAAAATGATGGATGGAAGAGATGATATGGGTCGCTAAGAAAGCTGCAGATCAAATGCAGCAAAATATACTTATTTTGGAGTTTTGAACAAGAATATCTAATCGAAATTGTCTGTAGGTACAAATGTGAATGAGGGGAAATAGAAGGCAAAAAATTGATGAAAAGTTGCAATTTATTAGGCTTGAAACAATTTAGTATCATCACCCACTGAGACCGACTTCAGTTGGCTCTAGAAACTGACCATGCCTGGGGGGGGGACAACAAAATGTCTCGTCAAGCCGGAGGGGAGAAGACCTGTTGCAAAGCAACCCTTGCCTTTTTGTCCCTTGAGGGGACAAATTCGTAAAACATTTGAAGCTGTCAGGCTTTAGCTGTCAAGATCTCAGACTAAAGTGTGCACACACCTGTGGAGACCGACACCTGTTGGCTCCAGAAACCAACCAGAAAAAAAAGGGGGGGGAAACAGTGTCGCCATGAGCCTTCCCATGGAAACTACTTTAACCATGATCTAATAGCACTTGAAGACCAAGAAATGCAGTTTTTCTCTATTCAATTACTCACATCATGAAAACGGAGTGTCATTATGGCCAAGCTTGTCTTGGTTTAATTATAAGTGAACTTTTCAGGTCATCATTGAATGTAGTCCTTTCTGGAGATATCCACATGTCCACCTGACATGGTTGCTGATCAACAGAGGAAAGAATTATGTGAGCAGAACCTGATGAATATTTTTTATCTCTTATTTTCTTTGAAGGTATAAAGCACAAGAGCAGTTCCAGAGCAAGTGCTAAATTGGGTTTCCACTTGCTGAACCATATTTAGCACCAAAACATCAAAAACCCTGTGTCATTCCCACCACAGGCAACATCTGGACTCCTGAAGTGATACATTGTAGATCTCATGGAAACATCCTTCATAAAAAAATCTGTGAAACCCAATTCATAGATCCCAAGAATATGTGATTGATTCTTGGGCCCAAACCTGTGAAAGCTACCTCTGAACCCAAGCTTTTTTTGGTTTGGGTTAAATCTGGAACATGGTATTCTTGCCATCAATTATCATGTAATCAATATGATCTTATAATCCAAGGATTTGTGCTGGATTTTTTGCCTCAAGTTGTTGATTTTCAGGGTATTGAATTAGTCTTACATCCAAGACTCAAAATTGCATTCTAATGTCATTTTTACATATATATAAAAAAAAGAAAATCTGTGGAAAATTGATAAAGTTCTTTTTGTAAGTTCCACCTTTTTTGATTTGGTTCCCATGTTCATAATTTGCAAGCACAACTAGTAGATTTTTCACAACCTAAAACTAAAAGAAAATGTACTTTCAAAAGGCATACATCAAAGTGAGAAACTGGTCTTACACAAATTCATGAGGAACTTCATGAATATGATTTCTCAAAGTGGCTAATCACAAGAATTTCCTATATATTAATGGTTCATACACTTGTGAAATAGAATTGAGTTTAAAAAGGAAAGGGGAAGAAAAACTGTACAATCACATCAATTTTGCTGTTTATTTTCAATTTATTTTGAAATTCAATCAATCAATAAAACTTACATTGTTGGTCATAGAATCAGAAAAATAAAACTATGAGTTTCCTGAAAGTATAGATACAAAGGTTTCCTCTCTACTTGTCTTGAGGGCAGCCAGCGTTAAAGCTTTTAGGAGATATCAAAATTCCTTTTGAAGTGTCTTCTTCCCTTTTCTTAGTTTGCAGAAAACCATAAGTAAGAAAAATGAGCCATCAAGTTTGGTGGGCACTGGACGGTATCATAAAACAGTTTCACTCACTAGTACTTCAAATCTTGACTGATCACAGCAAGAGGCTGTCTTTGTATCTCCATTTTGGCATTCTACAGACGGCCCTGATGGATCAAAAGCTAAATAAACTTGATTATTGCATGAAAGAAGGACAAAAATTCAGTACATTTTCACAGGCCAATAGGATGATTCCTTTGATAACTTGACTGAACATACTTTGGACATCTGATACAAATCCAGAAGATGAAAGAAATTCTCCTTTGCGAAAGCAATAATGAGACAATCCAGCCCCACAATTGGGATCCGTCACTTTTGGTAAACCTCCACCTGTTGTGGCTCGGGGTTTGATTTGATGTTTTCCGTCTGTGCTTAAGCAAAAAAACCTTCTGGTCACGGCCAAGAATATGAATGATTTCCAGAACTGCATTCTAGTACGCAAGAAAGAATTGATAAAAAAATCTACAGGAAGCTATATGATCTAACAAAAGTCTCTAGAAGTCAATTGTAAACAGTTTCGGGCAGGATAATCGATATTGGTTGTTGAATCTGAATGGATAGAGAATGAAAGGGGAAGAAAAATGAAGTGCTCTGAATGTGATGAGATTTTATAGAGCTTGAAGTTGAGATAGCGCAGTGCCATGTGTAGGGGTATCCCCAAGCAAGAGACAGACCAGAGACCGGTGCTGGTTGACTTCCAAAGGTTGAAACCGACTGCCAAGGGTTCAGTCTGGGGCAGAACCGTACGTACTCGACGAAGCCCATGATTGACTTGCCCCTTGATTGAAATCGTTGCAAGTGTTCTGGCGAGCTCAGTGGCCCCGGTTGGCTCTGGAAACCGAGAGCAGCAGGCCTCTTGCCTGGGGTGAGGTGACGACAGACTGTCTTCTCCAGCCAGCAGACGGTTGGATGGCTTGTCGCAAAGCACCCTTTCACTTGATGTTTCTCGAAACAATAAAGTAGTAAATAATTCAAAGTCGTTGGTTTGTCATTTGAAGTTGGCACTTTAACTCTGCTAATAGCCTGTGCTAGAATCAAGGAAACTCTTTCAAACTGGATTCAATACCAAAGGTTTTCAACCCTATGGGAATTTAACTTTATCTTCATTTCGAGAACACTAGAATTTAGCTAATCTACATGGGGGGAAAACATTTCCCTTTGGGCTTTCCACTTCTCTCAAACAAATGATCAATGGTCATATCATCATGGTAGATACCTGTCTTCTCACATTGTTCAAAAAAGAATTTGTCTCAAGTGTTTGTCATCAGGTGGCAAGCTACAAAAGCAAGAGCCGTTTCCTTTCCTTTGCAATGAGTCACATCAAGAAGACCATCTTTTTCTCCATCTGAATGCTGGATACGAGGCCCAAGCCATTGAAATCCTATATTCTTATATTTGGAGGATCAAGACACATGGGAAAATGAATTTTAAAAGCAAGTTTTGGAACAGTTTGTGGTTGAAATGGAAGCTACTTTCAAGTTGCTTCCATCTCAAGTTGTAGTGTTTGCACAGGATTACATTGCAGTCTAGAAGGATACATAGTAAAATTGGAACTGGAAAAAAAGAGAGAGAAAAATTTGACTGAAATCAACATTCCATTCTGTTTGAACATTCTATTTTATCAATTTGTGTGTGTGTTGGATTTGGAATCCATTTCCAATGCAATCAGATCCAGAAAAGGTTGGTTCGGACCTAAAGAAGTCTAGATTTCTACAGGGAGATCTACTAGTTTTTGGTAAATCATATCTGGGGGGAAGCCCTCCAAAAAAAGAAGAAAGAGACATGTTATAAACTGTTGGTCACATGCATATATAAAACAACCCACTTCCTGACGAAAAAAAGGCTTGCGGATTTGTTGAGTGAGGTTTCAAATGTTTTGTTTGATCTTATCTTTAGGACAACCATTTTTGAAGCTTTTTAAGGTGATGAAGATACTTTTAACAGGACTATCAACCCGATCCTTTGTTGGAAAATAAATAACCAAGAGCAGTCAGTCCTCCAACTATTGTGGATCAACCAGACACCTGATTTAAAAACTCACCAATACTTCAAACTTTGATTGGTCGCAACAAGAGGCTGTACGAGGCCATTGGTTTGGACACGAAAGAACTGTTTGTCCATTTGAATCAACTGGAGAAACAACTGGTTCATCGGACGAAAATCAACCAGGCAGGATGCGCACACTATTAGTGTGTGTTTTTTTTTGGATGAACATATGGAGTGCACTTACTTTGTGCGATTGTTTGCATGTCAGAAGCTCCAGGAAGATAAGCCTGTCCTTGAGTGAAACAATAATGATACAAACCAGTAGTACAACCATCATCAGTCACTTGGGGCAGACCTCCACCTAGCTTGGCTCGCCGCCGCTCATGTTGGCGTCCTCCTCCTTGCTCGCGTGACCCTAAAACTCCAATGGCCACAGAAAACAGTATAATCGATTTACAGAATAACATTGGAGTGCTGGAAAGAACCGATTGTACTCAAGGGAACAAAAGAGGATGATGTGGGATGTGAAGATCTCAAATCCAGCAAAATTTGTCTCGTTTAAAGTTTCGAAGAAGAAACTCTACTTGAAAATTATGGATGACAGTTTTGGATTTTGAATGATGTGGCAAAAGGAGAGCGACAAAGTCACCAACACTTAGATAGAGTTTATGAGCCTTAAAACAAGTTGATGATGAAGTCTGAAGTGCTCATTCGTGCGCGGAGACCGGCACCGGTTGGCTCTAGAAACCGACCAGGAGTAAAAGTGGGGTGGCTCTTGTCTGAGGGGTCTCGGAGGGTGGGACGGCTTGTCGCGAAGCACTCATTGACTTTGATGTATCGACTCGAGTCGACCAAGCAGCTTTCAATTTGTTAGGGCCCCAGTGATCGAGTATTCAGACTAAAGTGTGCACCCGCGGAGACCGGCTCTAAAAGATACCGAGCAGCAAAACATGGCCTCTTTCTTAGAAGGGGGGGGGGGGGGGGGGACAACAGAGCGTCTTCTTGAACCTCGCCATCGACATTAATGATTTGACCATCTATGTGTCATAGCGCTTGGAGACCAAGAAATGCTGCAGATAAGATACAAGACAGTTTTTTAAACTACTCCCCGAACTGATCAATGCGATGGAGTCCCCTGTGGGGCAATCCCACTGGGTGCCCCCCCCCCCCCCTGAGGTGGGCTCTTGAGAGCCCTCGTGAAGCTCGGCATCGACTAGCTTGGCATCCGGATGCACTGATGTCATGATTATAGAGACTGCCGGCTTTCCGTCTGATGGCTTATCGGCTTTCCATCCGATTATAGCCTGCCAGCTTCCCAGACAACTTGCCGTCTCATAGCACGCTGGCATTCCCTTTTCAGTGTGTGCAAGCCTCTCGGCTTTGCGTCCACCATAAGCCTGTCGGTTTTCCGTCCGACACACATAAGCCTGGATTATGAGCCGTTGGTCGTTCGTGATGCTGGTTTGTCTGGCCTGGGCAATTTGTTCTTTGTTACTCCATGGAACAAGGCCGACATGAATGATGGGCGCGCTTATGATTGATCTGTGATTCTTGGAGGCCATCATTGAATGATGTGTCCTCTCTCTGCATACATCCACATGTTGGCATGTCCACATGACATGGTTATTGGTCAACAGCTATCAGCGGGATCTAATCAGTTTTTCCTTTTCCTTTTCCTTTTTTTTTCTTTTTTTTCTTTGATTAAGGGTTACAAAGCATTTAATGTAAATTCAACAGCTTGAATTCCAAGGAAGTGATCTTTGGAATGGGCTGATGTCGATGATGGTGACGTCACAATGTTGCAGATCGGTGATTGACGCCGGCCAAGTGATCCAGGGTGGAATCCTGTTGACCGAATTTTGTTTTGCAAGTTGAATATTTAAATTCTTCTTCTTTTCCTTTATCAACCCAGTCTCCATCAATCCATCATCATCTGCATCACTAGAGTAGTACATCTCCCTTCCCTTTCCTTCCAATCCATACCCACCAAGTCACCCTTCTCCTTCGTCATTCCGCGTCCATGAGCACGCCATGCATTAATACTACATACGCTAACTAATCCATCATCTTCCCCAGCTGCGAAGGAGAAGGAAGGGATTTTGCATTTTTGGTGAGAGTTTCTTGACCAATCTTCATCCCTTGTTAACCGATTGTTATAACATCCACTTTGGGAACGTTCCAGTCTACAGTACAACTTCTGGACCTCGCGCTCTCGACTTCGCGACGCTGGGTAGCGACAGGCGGATGTACAGATCCCTCCCTTGCTATAGGTGACCGCGAGCTTATGTCATCAGTTCCTTCTCGAAATCCGAATCCTTGATTCCGATTGTAAAAAAGGGCCATATGTACAACAAACTGGTGGTCTACACTTCTCCAACCAACAAGAAAAACAAGATGAAACCAGCAAACCAACACCCACCAACATCATCGCCATCACCAGACTACAAAAACCAAGAACTAGAGAAAAAAGAACAACAAGAACAACAGCTACAACTGATCAACAACCATCGTCGCTCTCAATCACTACATTCCACCACCCAGATCACTTCTCACTCATCCAACTCTCAACATAACCTACCAACACTCCAGACTAATCATCTCAATCATCACCAAAACTCAACATCCTCATCCTCTCTAACATCCTCATCCTCCTCTTCATCCTCCTCAACCCCACCAAGACATCATCATCATCAATACAACAACTCATTTCACCATCATCCTGCCTCACCTATCAAGCACATCCATCATCAACAACAGCACCCAGAATCTCTCTCAGAACATCACCATCAATCCTCATCTGACCATCTCCTCAACCACCACCATTCTCCAAGAAGATCCGATCAACCAACTCACTCCTTACTCTCAAATTCTATCCTCGTCATCTCCCTCACCATCACCTCATCCTTCTCCTCAATCCTCCTCTCAATCTCAACCACCCAACTCACCCATCTCTCCCTAGCCACCTTCCCCATACTCGAATTCCTATCGCTTTCGATCATCACCAGATTACCGATCCTCAATCGAATTCAATCCACCTATAATCCTCATCAGCCTAATCCATCACATCACCCCCACCATCGATCCCGATGCCCAACACCACCACCACCACCAAAGAATTCAAATCTAACCAATTCTCATCATCGATCCTATCAATCAGTACCCAGATTTACTGGCTGGAGATTACTGCTCAGATTCACCCTACCAGCCGCACTGCTCAGCTTACTGGCCTCATGGTCCAAAACCGAAATTGCTGGAAGAGTCGGCTGTGGCACTTGGCAGGCATTTGATGTAAGCCATTGCTCATTCAAACCAACATCAACTGCTCACTTATTCCTCTCGCTCTCCTCGTCTTTAGATTTATGCACTTCCTATCGCAGTCGTCGCGCTCTCCCGATTACCATCGATCAAGCAACCTAGACGTGAACTTGTTGCCACAGTCTCAATCATCACATTTGCCATCTCACTCATGTTTTTTGCCGAGCCAATATATCCGTTCCTGATCATACTCGGCATCCTCTCTGCGGCCTCACAGGCCCTCTACCTGACCCACCTCAAGACCTGGTTACTCTCCTTTCCCCAGCTCAACCCGTGCCATGCTCTCGCCCATTCATCCCCCTTTGCGCTCCTCCTGATCTTTGTTCCCGCCTTTGCCAATGCAATCTATCAGTCTATGACTCGCTTTGGGCACCTCGATCTCACCCCTCGATTCACTTTCCATGCAACTATCTGGCTGATCATGTATCTCCTTGCACGCGTCACCGAACGGCTGTTGGAACTCTGGATAGTCTACCGATTTCAATCTCCACTCTCGGTTATCCTCGTCGTCCCACTGCGCAACTTGCTCTCCGTCGGAATAGCAGAAGTCTCGCAGTTTTACCTTGGTCGACTAGGTTCAGCCCAATCGATCGCATGTTACTCCTTTTCCCTCTTGGGCCTCTATCATGCCGAACGTGATGTTTCTCAAGCCTTGAGACAATTCTGCAAATTCATCTTCAATCGATGTTCGCATCCAAAACTTCCTGGGTCAAGTAGGCGGAGATCTTCAATTTACACAGATCCAGATGCGGAAACCATTCAAGAGAAATCGCCCGATGAGCTCTTACACAGCCGAGAAGTCGATCATGGACGATTGAGTTCTATTGAGCGTGATCGACCAAGAGATGAAGAAGATTATAGACGACAAGCCCCCACATCGCGTTTTCGCAAGCCATCATTCTCGGAGCGATATCGATCCGAGCGCAAGTTGAAGACTCATTGGCAGACATTATTCCGGAGCATCGCCTTTGGGCCACTCATAGTCCTTCTCTTAATCAAACTGATATGGCAACCACCGATTGGAGTTCCGATGACCGAGATGCCGCTCGCAACAGCTCGACCAGCAGGCTCAGTCGACCTAGTGTTTTCATACTACAACGAGCCCCTGAGTCGGTTCTTCGAAGCAGTTGATCATGTCCGTAGATTATCCGTCTTATCATTACAAAACCCTCGAGTGATCGTCTATGTCAAACATCCTGAAGTCTCACTGGTCAATATCGCCAATGTGATCAATGCGGATGAGGTGATTCGATTGGACAATGTAGGAAGGGAAGGAGGGACATACTTGACACATATCCTTAAACATTACAATTCGACGATCCTAACTGATCAACAAGGAAGGGTAATCCGAAGTGGGAAGAGTGACCCAAATATCCTTGAACAAGCCGAATTCGGAGTCGAAAGAGTCCTCAGCTCGCCGGCTATTCATGGACTAGCTGATCATACAGTCTTCATGCAACCCGAAATTTCTTGGCATTGGATTGCCAAACCTCGGATGGATCTCTTCGATCCTAAATCTACTGGGTTCCTCTCTTTCGGTCCTTATCTTGTTTCCGTGTGTGGTCAGGATGGTCTGGGGAATGGGAATTATGAACGGATGAGAGATATTTACACCATGTTTTATAATTCTGTAAGTGATCTCTAACAAATTGCCTCACTTTGCTTGATTCTAACATCCTGCTGTACGCAAAAAATATATATACAGTTTTGTCCACCAACCGGCCAATTAGCCTCATATGCGGGCCAATTTGTGGTATCAAAGGCTCGAATATTATCGAACAGATACGAACAATATCTGAACATGAGGAGATTATTGGAGGCACCAAAAGAGCATTGGATTCATCAAGAGGGAGGATGGTTAAAATGGAAAGGTGCAACGGATACTGCGGCTACCAATCCTACTGGTCCTCAAGCCCCTTTCCTGGGACATGCCCTCGAACGCTCTTGGCCGGTTATCTTTCGTTGTTTCGATCCTTCCATTGCTGAGTCTTGTCCTGATGATCTTAATGATAAACGTCTCTGTCAATGCTTTGATTAGTCAATCTACTCCTTCCTTCCTTCCTTCCTCCTTTCTCTCTATTCCTTTTCTCTCTTTGGTTTCTCAGTTGTTTTGTACTTCAATAAATAATTTGTTATTTTATTTGCTTTGGGTACCTTTCCTTATCTTTCCTTATTCAGTGACTCTCTCTCTTTCTCTCTCTCTCTCTCTCTCTCTCTCTCTTCAGTTCTCTCTTTCTCTTTCTCTCTGTCTTTCTCTCTTTCTCTCTGTTTCTTTCAAATACAACAAAAAATGCATCTCTCTTTTTTATCTATTTATAAATTATAATCATGATCATAATCTCTTTGCCTCTTTTATTGTTTTTTTAACTTCTGTGAATTTTTTTCATAAAAAAAAAAGAAAAATTCCTTAGATGTTTAGTTTGTATTGTTTTTGATTAGTTATTTATTTAATCTCTGTTAACTTTATGCATGAATAATTTATTATATACATCATTTTGAGGTAAACACACATCTTGATTCACATGTTTTTGTTTTGTTTTGATGTTAGATATCAACACACCAGCCAACAGAGAATAAGTCCCCAATCTCCATCTGATTCCTGGCTTCCTCAGCATGTGAATCTGGCACAGGAGGATTGTGTTTGAGGCTATTTTTGGTGTTCTTTTTATGCATCCCCCCTCTGATTTGGAGGGCCTATAGATGTGTAGCCCAAGTAAAGGACTACAATATGGCCGCCACAGACAGCCAATCAGGCCACTGCGCTTTTTGTTTTCCTTGTCCAAAACTGAAAATCTTCGACTGTGCCCCCTGAAAAAAACAAACAGAAAATGGGACAACGTCCTGTAACAAGCAGTTTATTTTGGGTGACTTCAGTGGTCTTTGGGTGTCAGGCTTGGGGTACTTACTGGTGGAGATGGTAGTGCCTATAGCTGTGACTAGAAGATGTAGAGGAGTGGTGTTGTAGGAGAATGAAAGAGGCTTTATCAGCTAATACTAATACTTACTATTAGGACATGGCTCAGAGAATACTCAATGAGGCTTATGCGCGTCTTCCAGCAGCTCAAGAGCCAGGGCAAACAACTCGAGAGGACTCAGAGGTGGGAAGAGGGGTTAACAATCTCAAGTTAACAAGAGGGTAACTTGAGTAGTCGTCACTAGTTGTGATTGTAGATATGAGGGTGTTAATTAGTGATGAGGTTGAGGAGCAAAGATACTAGAGATAGTGATTGTACAGTGGTGGTGGAAACATAAGAGGAGATGCTGAAGATACTAGTTTCTAGGTTATGATCGTACTGAGGAAGGAACATGAATAGGTCAGCAGCTCCTTTAAATACTAGATAGAGATGTCGCTCGATACCCGGGTACCTGTAGCAGGTGCGGGTACCTGCCTCAAAAATCCAATATTTTTCACACCCACACCCGCACCCGCACCTGTTAGGGCCGCCAGGGCGGGTACCCGGGTACCTGCGCCGGGTACCTGCAGGTACCTGGCACATTCTTGCAGGCAAATATACCCAGAAATCTCACCCTTGAATTTCTGCATGACTTGGTAAATATAAGATTGATATTCACTAGATATATGAGTAAGAATAAAATAAAAATAAAGAAATAAAGAAAAACAAATTATTCTATCACCAATTTGAATTTTATCTTCTCTCTAATCTATCTTTAGCTTTACCCTTTTGCTAGGCCTCATTTGCCTTATTCAATGTCCATTGATCAAGACTGTACACCATCTTTATGACTGGAGGAATTCCTCCAGTCATCAAGCCTGTACACCATCTCAAAGGCCGGAGGGAACCCTCCGGCCTCAACAAAGCATCCAGATTAGTTCAGCAACACATGTAAGACATCAGCTGGTGTCCTACATGGGTTGCTGACACCTTTGTGCAGCCTAACACACCCAAAAAAGGGAGTGTTGGACCACCAATGATAAATTAAATTCTTCAGGGGAAGCATTCCCAGGGCGGGTGTAAGGCGGGTACCCGGGTACCTGCCTTTTTTTACCACAAATGTTGACACCCGCACCTGCACCCGCACCTGTTTTTACCGCAAATGTTGACACCCGCACCCGCACCCGGTACCTGCTTTGGAAAACAGGTACCGGGTACCTGCAAACAGGTACCTGCTGACATCTCTAATACTAGAAGCAGTCGCTGGCCAATTTGTGGTCGTCCTATTCCGTGGGGTCAACAAATAGGATGGAAAGAGTAAATAGTTAGTTCAACAATTGGGGAATGAGGCGTGTCATGAGGCATTGGTTCTTGCTGTGCCGCAGCTTATTTAATAATGTTTTTATTCATTTATTCCATGCGCACCTGTGCATTATCTCATTCTTATTTCATTATTTTTATATTTATTATAATATTATCTTTTTCTTCTTATGAGGGGGTTCAAACCTCTTGACCTCTGAGATTGGGAAGCATTCATATCAGCTTGGTCAGAGCATGTCTCTCAAGGTTGCTCTGAACTTCCTTGCGCTTCTTGATAGCTATCCAATAATAGGACCCTGGAAACCCCCAAACTATGTGGGTGACCTAAATGTATGAATTAAACAAAAATCATATACACAAAAGTGGTATGAATGAGTTTGGTTGCCTGAAAGGTTACACACAAACAGGCTTAAAATGTATGAATATCCGATAACTTGAAGGAACCCCCCCCCCCCCCCCAAAAAAAAATGGCCCGGTCCCCACCTCTTCCGGGGGATTTCCTCACTTTCCAGATGATTTTAGCCCAAGCATATGCACAAAATGTGTATGAATGGGCCCAAATGTGCCATTCCCCGGTGCCCCCAATGTATAAATTCAGTCAAAATTCCCAGTTTTTTTTTGTCACCCACATTTATGGGGGGTTTTCAGGGTCCTCCAATAATACATCTGTCACTTTTTTTTTCTTCTTCTTCTTCTTTATCAATGCTGAGTGGTCTGGTAGCTGAGTTGTTTGTGTGATTTCATGTCCTTGGTTTGGGCTGTGAATGTTTAGACTAAAAGTGATATTCCATAAGTGCCTGACAATGAAATACAAGTTAAAAGAAATAAAGAAAAGAAGAAATAACATTCACCTAAAAGCAGTAGATGACAAGGAAAAGAGAACAATAGAACAGTACTGTGCCACAACAAAAATAAAGGAAGAGATAGAGGTCTGACAAAAGATAACTCGGTTAATGTGAGATCATTGACAAGTGAGAACCAATAGAAACCTACGAGAATCAAGGAGACGTTCCTCAATGGAAAGTGGTCGGCGAGTTGTCGAGTAGAAGGGAATTGCCAATGTATAAATTGGTCGGATGAAATGATTGATTGTTCAAAGGAAGATGAGCGATGAAGTAGATGGTAGTGAATATAATGCGATAAGATTTTAAAGGTGTAGTTGATAAGAGAAGAAGCCTTGAAGGATGAGGGAGAGAGAAATGTGAGGAGCGAAATCGCGAGATAAGAGAATCGAATAAGAAAAAGATCCTGGGGACCAAATGATCAAGGGAAGAGATCATTCGTAGATAAGGTAAAAGAGGAAGAGGATCATGCGAGATGATCATCGGGCAGAAAAAGAAAAGAGGGTTTGAGCGTGGTGATGTCATCACCACGCTATGAATATCGGAGAAGGTTTGTGCGAGGATGATGTCATAAAGAAGGCTTGAGAGTGATATAATTCCAGTATTGAGGGAAAACTAAGAATAAGGACCAGGAGAGATCGTGCATGGGGCTTAGACATCAACACCCCCCCTTCCCTCAAGACGAAATAGGCCTAAAGCCTTAAGAGAATTCACAAGCGCCGGGCGAGGAACTGCCTTCGTCAGGAAATCGGCAAGCATTTCGTGCGTCGGAGTGTATTTTAAGAAGATCTTACTGTTCTTTATGACTTCTCGAATGAAATGGAGTTGAATTTCGACATGCTTCATTCTTCGTGAGTTCGAATTCGCATCAAAGTTAGCAACCGCAATGCAACCCTGATTGTCCTCATGGACAATCGTAGCCGCTTGAGAAGTGTCCAGACCAACTTCTACGAGCAACTGACGCAACCAGAGCAGTTCACACGAGAAGTCGGTAAGAGCGCGATATTCTGCTTCACAGGAAGAGAGAGAAACCACCGGTTGCTTTTTAGTCTGCCATCCCACAAGGTGGCTATTAAACAGAGACAAATAACCGGTTACCGAGCGTCGAGTGGAAGGACAGTTGCCCCAATCCGCATCAGTGTAGCCTTCAAGAGGGCTTATCACGTTGCGTTCGTAGACTAGCGCGTGATCGGGAGTCCCAGCAAGATAACGAAGTACGTGTGTGAGAGCCTCCCAATGGAGGATTCCGGGGGCTTCCAGAAATTGAGACAATTGGCTTACCGCATGCGCAATATCCGGACGAGTAGCTGAGCTCAGGTAACTCAAAGCGCCCACCGCGCTGCGATAGTTAACACCCAAAGAATTGAAGCGATCTATTTCCTCTTGCGAGGCCCGATCAAGTTGAGTGTTAGGGACCAGAGGAGTCGCAACAGTCTTGCAGGATGTCATCCCATAAAGAGACAACAAGGAGTTAACGTAGTGGAGTTGTGAAAGGATTATCGCAGATGGTTCATGCAAGACCTTAATCCCAAGGAGGAGGTCCGCGCGACCCATATCTTTCATATCGAATTCCTGCTTGATTTCAGACTTAAATTTTGAGATATCCTTCCCAAAAACAGCAATGTCATCCACATGGATGAAGAGCCATACAGGGTTATCACCTAATCGGAAGAATACACACGGGTCTGCAACCAATATCGAGAATCCGACAGAGACTAGCCATTCTGACAAACGATTATACCAAGCGAGAGGAGCTTGCTTGAGGCCATAGATGGCCTTTTTTAATTTGAGACAAACTTTCTTTTTGTCAAGAGAGACACCTTGTGGAATGGAGAGATAAACTTCTTCGTCGAGATCTGCATTCAGGAAAGCTGTCTTCACGTCTAATTGCTGGAAGTCTAGACTGTTGGCTGCCGCATAAGAGATGAGGGCCCGAAGAGAATTGAGGCGTCCAGTTGGAGCGAAGGTTTTCGAGAAATCAATTCCATGCGTTTGTGAGAAACCTTGCGCACAGAGACGCGCTTTGAAGACCGTCTCACCATCACCACCCTTCTTCTTGAAGACCCAGGTGGTTCCGACGGTTTTTATCGCCGGCGAAAGTGGGACAACTTCCCAAACGTTTAGTGAAGCCATCACAGTCAACTCTTTTTTAATGGCCCCCT